TCAACTTTCAAAAGTTTCATTTCAAACAACTTCAGCATGCAGAAAAGCTTCATGTGGAGCAAATGGATGAGTGTAGAATGCAAACAAGGCAAAGCCCCCATATTTTTACACTTTCATTCCCCAGAATTGGATAGCTTTACACTACGGGAATCCTCGTGTTATGGCATATGTCCTCTGGCATTTTCTCTTATTTGTTTATGATTGAAAGTGTGAAGGAAGGTTAGAGAATAAACCAAAAAACAAAGCCTCTTGCACAAGCGCCCCATAATCTCCATATTGTGCCTAAACATTTAACTAGGGTGTATTGATCCCGATATCCTAATGTAGTGGAAATCAAAAAAAAAATAGAAATATGTCAGCCAATTATAAGTTGCCTGCTTTTCCAGCTGAGTTGCATTTCAGGGAGAGAGCAAAATGATTATTGGGATTTGTAGTTCAGGCAGTGTTTGAGTGCATTTGATTGGATTGGTCAGCATGTGGCTCACGTATGTGGCATTACATCTGCCTTCAGTGATTGATGAACTTGTGTTAGCGGGTCTGCCCACCATGGCTGCTGCTACCCAAGCGAGTGCTGACAAATGAGTCACTGGCAAGAGAACCAGAAATACTTTGCTGTGCAGTGCCATACTGAGAAGGATATTGACTGTGAGAGCAGTGTGTATATGCTCTCTCTCACTGCTGTCTGACGACATAATGGGAACATGGAGGCTGTCATGCCAAAGGCCACCTCTGCTAGCTCATGTGAGCTCCTGTGTGGTTTGCAGGGATAGTTCTTTCTCCGCACTAACATGACAACTTCCATCGACCTATTAGCAACAGGCAAGAACTTCAGCGGTGCTCCAACACCTGAAGCGACCTGTACATCCAACAAAACTCAAAGTTACACTCTTAATCATCTGGCAATAATACTGGCACAAGCAAGATATGAATTCCATGTAATTAACTGTGAAATGTCAGACAAATAGATATTTACCGTGATTAATAATAATGTGCTTTTTGGTTGGCTGAAACCTGCAAAAATTACACAACTTCTAGATTTATAGCAGAATCACAAATATGTCATATTGAAACAGTAAAATCTATAGTATAAGAATAAATACTAATCAAAATAGAAATCGCCAGAAGGTAGAAATCTTAAGAGAAATCTTAATGCCTCCGAACACACATGGCTGAAGTGTTGTGCACACAGAGAGACCAGACATGGAGAAGAAGACAATATTTAGTCAAAAAAAGTTCAAACTACACAAAATGTGGTCAGTTATTGTTTGCACATGTACTCATAGGAGAAATGAATGGTTTCTTTGTACTGATACTGTTTAAAGATTTGATCAGTGAAGTGTGTACTCGCATGATTCTTGCTCAAATGTGAATCGTGATTTTTTTTCTCCCTGAGAAATGAGATCAAGATTATCTCACACAATTCTTATTTCTTTTAAAACTTTTAAATAAAAACTGCAGCTTTAACTCCACCATCTAGTAAAGTGTCATCCTACCCTGTGTGTGGTTACTATAGTAACAGTGACTGACAGCGGAGGGCCCTAAATGAGGAAGAGCATCGGCATCATTTAGAAATGTCATACCGCTACCATAATGGGTCTCAGGAGGCCGGACATGAGAGTAAAAAAAGTATGCTGCAGCCGTAATGTTTGCAACTGTTGAAAGTGTTGGTGTTGAAAAATGAAGCCAATGCAGAAGTGCAAAAAGCGGCTGTTCCTCGAGCGACTACTTGAGGCTGGCTCTGCAAGCCCTGACAGTCACATACACACCGGTTCAACAAAATGGCAGAAATAAACATGTTTACAGCCTTGTTTCAAAACAATGTGAATAGATCATTGTAAATGCACACAATGGGTGATTATTTTTTTAAACTCATGAACTCAACAGATACCAAGACAGTTATTCATAATAATGGGCATGGCTGATCTGACTGACAGAAAGGCGCGTTGTAGCCATTTGTCAGGAGGCTAAAGGCCCTCCTCAGCTCCGACTCTTTCCCTGTTACTAGGCTGCCTAAAATTTAGTTTGAGTCAGCATTTCCAATATGGCGACCACCACCGATTGGCTTCAAAAGTTTGCTTCAGAAACCAATGGGTGATGTCGCCAACCCTACGCCCATATTTATATACAGTCTTTGGTTCACACATGCAGCTTAACCTGTAAATGTAGGCATTATCTGTAATGAGGGCTACACCAGGGGGCAGTATTTACCGGTGTTGGTTTCAGACTCCTCAGCACACAGACTCATTCAAAGACAAAAATTTACATGCTCACACCAATACATGCAAAAGCGTGACTCTCCACACTCCCCCGCCACTGTACTCCTAATGATGAGAAAGCTTGTGAGTCTTCAGGTCCACAGATTCAATAATATTTGCATCTGATATTATCCGGGGAATTGTTTGTGATTTTTCTGGGGACGCTGCCAGAATCTGGTAAAAAGAAATTGTTGGACCTCTAAGAAAAGAAAGGGGCTCCTGGGAAATTAGTGCTTTCAAGGCCTGACTGAGCATAGACAGCGAGAATGAAGAGCAAGACAAACAGCAGAAAACTGAATGATGAAACGCATACAGCCACACCATTCACATGGAGGGAGAACACACACATGCCGCAGAATGTATCATACTGATTATCCCATTAAGCCTATGGGTTAGAGGATACAGATGATTGTCTCAAATATCGCCTCATCACTTAGACCCTGTCCATGGATGACAAGTTTAGAACATACTAATCTGCAGCCAAAGTTCTGACACATGTTACATCTTCAATATTGCTCTAAATCTTGATTTTCTTGTCTCTCTCCGTGGATTTGTCTTTTCTTTTTTTTTTTTTTTGCAGAATATTCTCTGAAGAATTCAAAGAAAAATCTGGGAAGTAAAAAGTTTCACACTAATTTCAAATCCTTGTCATATTCCTAGATTATATTTATATATAGACAGTATAATGAAAAGCCTCTGAACAGGAGTAGCATTAACATGTTCTATAAGTAGAACATGATCCAATAAAAACAGTTTCTTCAACATGTTTATTTTTTTCCAGTCATATTTATATAGACAATATATTAAAATTATTTCATGAATATAATTACATATTGGAAGTTTTTTTTTCTTGATAAACAGAGCAATATTAATAAATGTAGAAAGATGAGCACAATATTTCTTTCATCCTATGGGTATTTTAACTCTGGGATCATTTTTTTATTTTGAGGAAAGTTTTGGATACTTTTATGTTTTCTGCTTTAGGTCTAAAGTTCCTGTATTGGTATCATTGATTATTGTCTCACTATTTCTTAGGATTACCTTCAAATAATGTATATCCCTACAATCTATGTAACATTTAGGTTTTGTAATTTTTGTAAGTTGTGCTCAAACTATGTTGGTGTTGACTTTAGATCATTACAAACAGGATTATGGTAACAATAATCTCCTGTTATGGTTCATCCATTGCTGCTATACTTGCTGGACTCTGGTAACATGTTGTACATCTCAAACACAATGGAACTAATTCTAAACGTACAGTAGAGAGTTCAAACAAAGTCAACAGTCATGTTTTAAGTAGTGACTGAACAGATATAGGCAAACTGTTTCTAAAAGCCTAGCGTACATCCTTATGAAATGAAGCTCCAAGCTTCCATGAATAAAGAAAAATAAGAACTGATGAATCGTTCACATTTACGAAGCATTTTTTGAAAACCAAAAGTGAATTACAGGTTTTTAAATGTATATTGGCATAATTCCATTACTTAACCCCAACTATTGAAATTATGTGCACAAGATAATTATGTTGTGTGTACAAGATATTAACTTGTGCGCACAAGATGATTATAATTATGATGTTTGCAAAAGTTAATTTTGAATGAATTTGCCTTGTTCAGTTCAGCCTTATGGAGATGACTCGAAAAATCATGTTTTACTTTAACCTAGAAATGTCATACAGTGATAATTAGTAGACTTAAATTTGTATGTGTACATGTTAATAAAGTAAGTTACAGTACAGTTTTATAACTTATAGAAAACTGGTGCTTAGGCAAAGCTTACTTTTTAGTACGTACATAAATATCTTGTGCGCACAAAATTCATTTTTTCTTACTTTTCAGGGGCTCCGTATATTTCCTCTCCCATATTGAAAATAACTTTTCTATAGAGTCTGGATGTGACTTTTTAGAGATGTTTTATCTCTAGACATATTTTCATTATTTTGTCCATCCATCCATCATGATTTTCCCGTTCAGGGTCGCTGGGCACTGGAGCCGATCCCAGCTGCCACTGGGGCAAGAGGCGGGGTTACACCCTGGACTGATCACCTGTCAATCACAGGGCTGACATATTATAGAGACAGACAACCAGCCACACTCACATTCACACCTATGGGCAATATTAAAGTCACCAATTAACCTAACAAGCATGTCTTTGGACCATGTTAGGAAGCCAGAGTACCCTGAGTGAACCCACACATGCACGGTGGTGACAGTGCCTCTGTGTGAAGTTTGCATGCTCTCCCCGTGCGAGCGTGGGCATTATTTTGTAACTAAACAACTCATTTAATTTCCTAACATTACATTTTTTTTTAAAGTGGATTTGTGTATGCATAAGGAATCACTCTTATTTATAACACATCTGGCTCATTTTTGCTGGCTCATTTTCACATGGTTGTGAATATGAAAGATCTCAGCTTTTCTGCTGTAAAAGGAATGAAAGCTCTAACTTTTTTTATTACCTCTACTCTAAATGTGTTTATTTGAATCTATTTATTGTCACTTGTAAAGATGGTATTATTATTATGGAACTTTGGATGAAAGTCTGTATTCTTTTCAACTCTGGCATCTTACATCTAACATCCTGTTCATGATACTGATGTTAATTCAAGTTCTTTGTCCCTGTCAAAATAAAAAGTTAAAAAGTAAAACATTTGTTTTAGGTGTTTCTCTGTGATGGTTGAAAGTGAAGTTCCCCCTTGACGTCTAAAAATAAATCCCTAACCCCACACTCTTGCGTCACCTTCAGATCATGCTGCTCACTGATCCAGAGGTGGAAAGCAGCCTCCTGATCAGCTCCGACGAAGGAGCGACCTACCAGAAGTATCGTCTCAACTTCTACATCCTCAGTCTGCTGTTCCACCCTGAGCAAGAGGACTGGATTCTGGCCTACAGCCACGACCAAAAGGTGAGAGAACGGCCAATCCCCTTCAGTTGTTCAGCTGTTCGGAGGTATCAAGAAAAAAAGCTGAGTGTAAAGTCAGATAAGGAACAACGGGGGGGATGCATTGCCTCAGAGCAGACATGTGAGATCCTGTTACACAAGAGTTTGGCTCAAAGCACTCAGCCAGAGTTCATAAGGTTTGTTCAGGAAGGAGGTGGAGAAGTAAGGGTTGTATAATTCAGGTATAGCTCCAAATTCACTCAAAAGGATGTCTCTCTTTCGACAGATAAAGGCTAGAGATATTTCAAAGTTTTCGGTTGATTGTCAACAATTCTGAGATATAATGTAGATTTTTGTAAGTCAAAATGACCTGACTCTGAGTCAAAGTTTTGATGAGATAAGATAGGCTAAGATAATCCTTTATTTATCCCACAACGGGGAAATTTACATTGTTAACTGAATACAGTACAATTTAAATAAAAAAATAAAAAAATAAGAATGTACAAAAAAATTGATAAATACTACAAAATTGATTTAAAAAAATAAAAAATAAAATAAGATATAATAAATAAAATAATAAATAATACATAATTTAAAAATAATAATAATAATAATAAATAAAAAAAATCAGAGTAACAAAATTCTTATTCTGAGGCAGGAAATCAAAAAAAAAAACATAATAAAGGTTGTATTTCTTATTTGATCTCTTATTATCCTTTCAGTGCCTTTCAATCTTAAAGCTTTAAATCTGTTAAAAGTCATATCGTTTTTTTTTATATCTATTTAGGCAAGGTAATAATGAACAACCTTGAAGAAAAAAAACATTTTCTTTCTACTCAATACAGTATATTTAAGACACAAAGTAGACCAGTCTAATGTGGACTTTTCAATCATTCAATTAGACTTTGATAATCTGTTTGTATACATTGACTTTATGAGCCTTCATACACAGAAAGGTGTCATGATATCTCTGGTCAGGGTATTCATCTTGAAGCTCTCCATTTTTCTACAAGGTTGTTTAGCCGCTGCTTGGGTTCAGAAAGCATTGCATCTTCTAAATTCATTTCATGAAATTTAAAAAAAAAGCTATTTACAGCCAAGTCAAAAGGTATTTTTTCTATCATTACAGGAAAGTCAGGAAAATTTAAAACACAGCCTAACACCTTCCCCCTCCCGAGAAAGAAAAGAAAGCAATCCAATTTATACACTTTTTAAATTAACTGTTTGCATTAAGCATGCAGCTTAGCCTCAGAATAGCTTTAGCTTAGCTTAGAATAATGAAACCATTCTTCTTTTACCAAGGGCATACACACACACACACACACACACACCCAACAGACAGTCCTACAATGTGCTGGTTAATGAGTCAGAGATGCCTGTAACCCCCCAAACAGAATCACTTAACTAATTCATTTTAAAGTCGAGTTTTCAGGCGTTTTTCACTTCACTTTCCTGTTTTGGAATTCAGCCTTGACTCCCAACTTAATGATGGATAAATGTAAATAAGAGTCTGAGCTTTCAAACTTGTCTTATATGATAATGGTCAACTGATAATCTGATGGGGTTTGTGGGTTCAAAGCATTAGACGGCATCACAACAGCTTATTTGATTTTATTACTTATAAATGGATCAAGATAGAATAGGAAGAAAAAGACGTTTTCATTACTTGATGCACGGTTTGTGAGTATAGCATGTAAAAGTGGCCTACTCTGGCCTTCAAAGTGTACAAGAAACACTTGAACTTCCTGAGACTAAGCCTTATGTTAACCAAATATTATGTGCTATGTTTCTTTTGTAGTATAGGCCTATTGCACAGAGTCCTAATATGGGAGTGATTCAAACCAGACTGTTCTCATCCATAGGAAAACAAACAGGCTGAGAAATAACTGGGTATACTATGCCGTATACCTGCGTATACAAGCCCACTGATCGTTACCTCAGTATTGTCATTCATATTGTATCATGAGGTTCCTGCAAAAACCCAGCCCTTGTCTAATTCACATACGAATGGATGCTTTAAAATTCCTTGAGCTTCTATGTGCCAAAGTGTCGTATGAAATGCATCAGAGTTCATCAGAAAGATAGACTTTGGTGAGTAGTCTATCCCTCTATCCCTAAACCCCTTTTAGGTTTGAATGTAAAGGTAAGACACAAAAAAAACGTACAGCCTTGAATAGTTAGTGCCTGATACTCTTAATGGTTCATAAAAATTATAGAATAAAAGTCTTAGATTGCCCTCCAGTTTTTATTTTTATAATCTTTCACTGAAATTTGCTTTGGAAATGAGCCACTTCAGATTGAATTCTGGGTGAATTGAACCCAGAAGAGACATTGAACAAGTTGATGCAGAGCCTCTTGACATTGATTTGGAAATTGAGTACAACAAGTTTAACCTCACCAATCCAAAGCATTTTTGTTAAAGTCAGTGTAAAGGATTCCTTTTTTTAATAAGTCAGCTATGCTGGTTATCTGCTTGTGCTTTTATGTTTTTTTGAAAACTGCTTATCTAAAGAAAAGAGAGAGAATGGCAGCAGTTAGTCCAGGAGTTGGGACAAGTTGTCAACTTACTGCAAAGATTGCATTTCTATCCCTAGCCTTTTCTGTCCATATATTGGAGTGTGCTTGAGAAAAACACATTAAAGGCAATATTTTGAGTCTAAGTCTATGAATGAGTATGTATTCAGGTAGAGTTTATAGCACTTTTCCCTCCTGGATAAAAAGTACTGGATCAGTGCAGACGGTTTAGAAGATTTACTTTTCTTTTACAGCAGTGAAAACAAGTTGTGGCTACTTTATCCTCCTGACTTGATTCATCTATTTTCTCACAAGTCTCTTAAAAAAAACACCCAGACATCAAGTTTCTTTTTCTTGACAAAACTCGACCCATTGGACAAAGCTAGTTGATTTGAGTTTAAGGCAAAGGAAGAACATTTCTTCATAGCTGCGAAAAACAACATCTTAAAAACACTTTGGAGTTTCAAACACTCTCAGAAGTAACCCAAATATCCCTGCCAACAGTATGAAAGGAAGTCAGGGACACTACAAACTCTTGACTTCAGTGTTTCAGGCAGTTCTTCTTCACTGGCTACAGTACATGCAAAGATCTGGCAAGGATTGACTGACTCTCATCACCAATAACAGCCTTCAGCCAACCATAACCACCCACACAGATGTCATACATTGGTGGACCTAGAACATAGCCTGCGGGTACTTAAGGTTTAACCCTTATACCAGTTGGGACCAAATAGACGAAAACTGTTTACCTTCTTAATGTGAGTAATTATACAGGTGTGAATTGCCTGTTAGATCAGAAAAAAATAGTCGGTAACAATTTAAATTAAGGTCACATTTACCATTAATTAGTTAATTTTCAACATGCTAATTAACAGGCCATTGACCAAAAGTATTCCCTTATGCCCTATATCGCAGGAAACAAAAATATTGCAATGTCAGTTTTTCCCAATATTGTGCAGCCCTAGTGCAAATTATGGTCATATAGAATAAGGTACAAGTAAGCGCTTAATAATGACTAATAAGCAGCCAGGATGCTACTAATTAGCATGCTAATAAGAAACCAGTTAATAGGGAATATTATAACCTTAATTTAAAGGGTTACCAAACATAAATTTTCTCTGCATGGACATGGTTTTAAATCATAACTCTGGTGTAAACCAGTACAGTGTGCTCAGACCAAAAGCAAAGTTCATTTTTTGGTGCATCACAAAAAACATGAGTACATTTGAGCTTATATTCAAAGGTTTACTTTTATCCATGAATCTTGCAAATTTGTTTAATATTTGAGGGGGTTTTGATTTTTTTCCCTCAAGCTAGGAATTGGGCTGAAACAGCCTATCATGGTTCAGTTTCTCCTCAAGTGCATCAGAGACGGTCAATCAGAACTCCATTCAGAAAACAAGCATTGTAAAAGATGCTGCTTGGCTCAAATTGCTGAAATGAATCATGTATTTAGAATCTTTTTATGAATCTCCATTATTATGTAGTCATTTCTGCATTATTTGACCTTTTTTTTTACACTATTGGGTTCATCATGATGTAGCAACCCAGATTTAAGCATTCCCACTTGTGTAATACAATGGAGACTGATGGACTTTTGTTTTACAACTGAAGTTTAATTCTTGTAGTTTTTGACCATCTGACAAATGTTGCAACCCAGTCAAGAATAACGCAAGGCAGATTTGGCTTTGCATTTTGGTGTCAAAAGAGCTTTGCAAAGTCCCTACCTCTAGTCAAGGAGCCACAGCCCTACAATACAGGGTTGAGTCTAAAAATGTAGAGATTTCCAAGAACATTTAACAACAGTGAGACATTTCTTTTAGGATTACTTCTGTTGAAGTGTAAGTGAAAATGCTGTTTATAGATTATTTGTGATGCTGTGTTAATGCTTTTTATGTCCAGTGCCAACTTACTCACCCACTCTCTAACCCATGCCCTAACTCGCTCATATCGCCTCTTCTCAAAAAGTGCTTCTCTTTCAATTCCTTCACCTACTTTTGGCAGCGCTGCCACATTTGTTGATTGAGAGACCTTTGGAGGTTGTAGAGGCTGTGTCGATTCCTTCATCCCCCTCACCTCCCTTGTCTCCTGCTCTCTGCCTCTTCACTGTCACGGCTACGTACTAACTTGCTGTGGGAGGATAATTAGTCATAGTGATTTCCCAACATACCCCCCCCCCCCATCAGCCGCCACCCTCTCAGCCTCAACCCCTTGAGTTTGCATCTGCTTAGCACAGCAAGACTGGGAAGTCATGGGAATCTCACCACCCAGGCCATTTGTCTCTCCCAGTTTGACATAACAATATACACACATCATATGCAATAGTCACAGTGAATATATAGTGTGCATATGCCCGTTGCTGAGCAATCCGTGAAGCGGGAACAGTAAGGGGAAGATATATACTCCACATAACTTCAGCACCAGGTCAGGGCTTGCCTCAAGGTTTTACTGTTTCTCAAAAGGCGTAATAAATTCTTAAGCTTATTTGTGTTTGAGCAAAAAATGCACCTTAATCTTTGATTTATATTATATTTATTTGTTATTTATAATGCATTAAAAATTGAAAAAATAAATAAAATAATAAGTTATATTGTACTGGAATGAAATGAGAATGATTGATTTTACTCACATCTCATGGGATATGACAGAGAAAGTGTTTCCTCGTGCGAGCTTAGATGCAGTCCAAGACGGCAGCCGCCGGGATAGAGTAAATAAACACAATTAGAAAAGAAATTAATAGAACCAAACAGAGTCGCAGTTTTGTTATCCGCTAATAAACGATTGTTTACACATTCTGCGTGGTTGCTCATGCCTTAAATAGAAAAAGTCCAGCCTTAACACTCTGCAATAAGTTTTAGGCCTCATTAAAATGCAGCTGTAAGCTACTGGGTAAACGGATTTGTCGTTGTGCTTTGTAACCGAACGCAGGTGTGTTTGGAGACAAATGATTCAGTGAGTATGTCAGTGAGGTAGTTGATGTACTGAGCATCTTTTCTGGGGGGGGGAGTTAAGGTCTTGCATTGAACCTTAAGTGAATGAAATGTATCTCTCTTATGTATGTGTCTCTCTTATTATCTATCTTTTTTAAACTGTGGGCTTAGACTATTTTTTAGAACCTGCAAAAAGCTTACAAAAGAAGTGAAGTGAAAGATAAGACAATTTATGTCATATCAGAAACTTTTAAATTACTGCTGCAGTGACATTATATTTGAATGCCTTCATTGTTTTGAATACTCATTTACATTTTTACTAGCTAGGCACAAGTCTTCTGTAAAACGCTCAAACCTGTAAAGACAGTTACGCCACTGCAGGCTCATAAAGTGCAAACCAGAAAGCTATACACCCATGACCATTTCAACTGTAGAATAAATCATAATTTACTGAGCTGGGATGATCTCATTACATTTGCACTTGTGTTGTCGGCTAAAGCAGAAAGTAAACTCACGATAGAAACAGTCCATCTGTGGCATGAGGGGACAGAATGTCTTCTAAGTAACAATTTGCCGGCACTTAGTTAAAAGAGAGTTGAGAGTGTTTTTTTTACATACTAAAGTTTGCTTTGTTCTAATTTGTGATCATCCTATGTAACCACATTTTGTTATCCATGTTTTTGGGCTGTGATCTCAAAACCGAAATCTCAGAGTGCTGCTCACCTTCACTCACTGTTGCTAGGTTACCAAAGTTTTCTCATGACACTACCGCTTACCTTTGAAGTGAGATTTTATTGAAGGAAATTTTCAAAGAAAACGAAACAAAACAATGGAGGGTAAATGTGTCTCTGGTGCGCTTTTAATAAATATTTGAGCTGCTTTTTAAAAAATCCAATATAACAAACCATGCCATCAAACTGCATTAAAAGCAGCTCTGGATCATGAAAAAAGTACCCTAGAAAAACATGGCAATAATAGTCCAACATTTTGGATGGTTGTTGTATGGGAAGTCACGCCCCTTCTTGATTTTGATTGGTCAATGCAAGTGACATGGACATGAGTGGCCATTTTCCATGAAATGAACTTTTTCAAACTGAGAGCGCTGTCAGTGCAGCAAAAAGAAAAGTGCTGATGCCCATGGGGTGTTTTAAAGCTCTGGATGCTGAGCCCTGAAATTCTTGTACAGCATTGGTTTCTATGACAAGGAGGAGCTGTCAGTGCAAATAATGTCACGAGTGGACACCGCAGACAAAGCAACCTGTTGCACATATGATTACACACAAGTCAGGTCGACTTGTGTCGACATAAAACATGTAGTTATACTGTATAAGTTAACATTAATAATCAGATAAGATTGATTCAACTTCAAACAAACTGCTGTCACATCTTTTTATGACAAAGACATTTGGCTTGACTTTACGAGAACTATGCGATGAGATCAAAATTTACTGGATGACTAAAACTCCAGTGAGAAAGTATTTTATTTAAAAAAGTAGAAATTTTAATAGCAAAACCCATTTAAAAATGGACTTAATTGATTAGTGTGGTTACATTGTTTTTCACACATCACACACAAACCCTTTATGGTTATTTTTCTACCGGCCTTTCTATTACACAGAGAGTTCCCATTCATTCTCCATCCATCCTCTGTAGTGTTATAAAATCTAAGCAATCCAGTGATTTACTGACAAGAGAACAATAGCTGTGCTGAGACCACCTACTATGCTCAGGCTCCTCTCCACATCCCCCCAAACCCATTCCAGGCTTGTTACAGAAGCTTGCTATTCCTCTTCCGTTGCAAAAGCAAGCTCCTGCACATCTTTCCTGATGGTTCAATTTGTAATGTGTGTGTGCACACTTGGGTAGCACGTATCAAGCAGTGGACCTTGGAGTTGTTGCACACTCATTGTTTAATTTTTGAATTTTTGTTTCAGGAAATTATATATGGGTGACATTAAAGTGAAATTTTCAGTTTGTTTGAAAGAAACATTGAACATATTTAGGGTCAAAAACACTCCCACAAACTTAGATAAATAATAGGGTACAGAAAGTTCCAATGAAGTATTTAAAGGTCCCCTCTTTGTATGGTTGACAATCCTTAAGTATTGTAGTTCACTCTTGGCAATAAAAAAAAGATGTTTGCATTTAAAGGGCCTGGACATGAAATGTTCTATTTCTGAGCAGAAACAAAGGCCAAAATTGGGTATAGCCCACAGTCCATTATTGACATTAAAGGAATGTGCATGTGTTTGTTATTGTATGTGTATGTATGTGTGCATATATGTGTGAAAAAAATCACTTTCTGTAGTAATGGATGATGCTGTGGATGGCAGAAAATGCTTGAATCTCTAAATGTCTGTAGTCCATGGTATTCACCTGCAGTTTTTGAATCTAAAAATTGTAATCTCATTCAGTGGATTTAAATAATGAACCTGTATGAACAGTATATTTTTTCTGTATGAGTATGCTTGTGGGGAAGTTGTTTTCCCATTCTTTTCCACTGCGGCTTAATTGAGATACTAAGTAAATAAATGTATGAAAACAAATCCAGAGAAAATCCTCTGTGATCTCACATCATTTTGCATGCAAAGTAAAACATTCAATAAGTGACAACAAGCTTGTGTGGTACAAAATGATAAAGTAGATTTAGTGTTAAGTTGGTTGTGACTAAATAATCACTGATGCTTGGGTTTTCTTGCTTCAGCTCTACAGTTCAGTGGAGTTTGGGAGGAGGTGGCAACTGGTGCATGAAAGAGTGGCGCCCAATCGCTTCTACTGGTAAGTACAAAAATATGGATATGGAACAAGTAGATCATATGACATTAAAAACTACGATCTTGACCTATGAGAAATAGACAACTATCCAAATTCTCTTCTGTGCTTTAGCGCTTTGTCTTTGAAAAATCTAATCTTTTAGGAGCATCTTAACACCCATACTAACTTAGACACTATCTCCAGCCCGAACATCAGCTTAATGTACCCACTGACCCACTGTGAAACATTTTCTCCACACAGTGATTGTAAAGTCATGTCTCTCATCCAGCAAATGTACATTTATAAACAGTGTTAGCTTGCCTAATCCAATTCCAGCCAGCCAGTTATACAAGTCTTGAACACATGTATTTTATATTTTTGACAAAATCTGAATCACAAGATGACTTTCACTGGCTGCATTTACACTCACATTGATTTTCATTCCACAGTAATAGATATCTCTTCTCTTATTTCAGAAAAACAGTTTGCATGTTCTATACAGTCTGGTGTTCATATACAGCAGCAAAGTGAATTGTAAGAGCTGTTTGACACTCTGATAAGTGATGAACAGAGGGCATTTTATTTCCCTCATTGACTGCATTTCTGCAATGACTTGTTCATCCTTATTTCCTCTGCACCTTTGACCTGCTCCCCGGACATGGCTATCCATTTTCCATCAGTTTTAGTATTTGTTGCCGTCAGTGTGCAACTCTTAATCAACAACCTCCTGCAAAACCTACATCCACACACATGCGAGTCAAACTGAAGGGCATCGGCAGAAAGGTCAGGTAAGGTTAGAGTGTACATGGTAGTTTGTTGTTTTGGAACATGTTAACTTAGCTTGACCTTCAAGCCATTCGTCCTGATCAGTTCAGGTCGTTGCCTTTCCGCCTTTCCAAAAAAGTGAGGAGCTGGAGTTTTTCCGTTGACTTCCATTATTCATGTGTATGACATGCCTGATCTTAGCCTGGTGGAAAATCACATTATGTAACCAGTTCCACTTTGGAGAAAGCCTTCAAACTACTTCTTTAGTGAATCGTTAGTTTGGCTATCCTTAAATATGACCTACACTACTCATATATGAAGACTTAAATAGTCGAATGGTTCCCCTCAGCAAGGCTTTTAATGCTAAACTGTGAAATGATGTGTCCATCTGGAGCTGTTGCAGAGTTGTTTCAATTCTTTCAAATAAAAATTCCCCAAACCTTTTAACTGTTGAATTTAATATTATTGTTCCGGCATTCCTATGTTATTCTTTGCTAAATGGTCTCACTGCTACCACTAAAGTGCCGTCCAACTCAGCGGGATCTATACATGTCTGGCCTCGATTCAGTAACTAACATTTAACAAAAAAAGCTCTCACCCCAACAAACTGCGGCAGAACTGTCAGGGTAGTAACAAGCGGGGCAGCCAGGAGTGAAGGGAGCCTGGAGGGCTGATGCTGCAGAAGCTGTCAGAGTTCTATTTTTGGGACGCACACACTGTGTGGTAGGTGTGGCGGATGTCCTGTAATGAGGCTGCAGATGGAGCTTATGTCTGCTGTGCATGTGTCCACCAAACATGTAAAGGAGATGAAGATTTGTAAGCTCATTCGGGGCCAAGCTGAGAAGTGCTCGCTCACACAGCACAGGTCCATTTGTGTAAAGGCACAAACTTTTACATGCAGCGCACTCAATTCCAACATGTTCAGCTATAATCACTTTGCGAGCTTAGTCAGAGTGCAGCCATGAAATGTTTTGCATATGACATTACAAATCTCTACAAAAACATCTGGAGCTCGATGTATGCTGAAATTTTGGCAAGCACCATCTCAGGAGTCCAATTTTTAACACCTGTTCTGACATTAAAGGCTTTATATGCGATTTTTTGATCCAGCAGATGTCGCCCTTGATCACCAGCATGAAACCAAAACAACTTGCGCTGCATTGTTGTGTTAGCATGCTAATGCTAGCGATCTTTATTCTGCTCGTATCTTCACACTGCATGTAAATTTACCTGAAATGAGCGTGATCTAGAAACACAGTTAAGCAGTGAGTACAGTATGTTATTCTTCTTTTCTCTAGTCCCTCAATTAAACAACTTTTATACATAAGGGGAGGAGTCAGCCGGCAGTCCCGGCGATGTAAACTCGGTGATGATAGGACTCTGAAAACTCTGAAAACATCACAGACAGTGGGACTCGGGTGTTACACCCATTGTAGACAGTCATGACTCACAGAGTTATTTTCAGAGGAGATACTTGATTTATGTTACATTTAAGTGTAAAAAATCACATAGAAAGCCTTTAAGTCTGTCCAGAGACCAAGCCAGTGTCATCCACAAAGACACGACTTGAGTTTTACTTCCCATCAATGAGCGGGGGAAAAGTTTAAACAAACCATAAAGCTTCTCTAACTCAAAGAGCTATTCTTTGCCTGTCTCACACTGTTCTTATACCTGAATGGATTATTCAGAGGAAATGGAAATGTGGCGCGGATTAAGTAGGCCATCCTATTCACAGCTGTGTTTCATCTGGGAAATCACCAATACTACCAATACGTATAATGATGAGAAGCTTTGGTGGTCTCTGACTGTCTCACTCTGTCTGCTTCTCATTCCCCTTACACAAACCCTCTTTATTTCTTTCTCCATTCATGTGTGTGCTACCTGTCGACACCATCCCCCCCTTCTCTTTCTCTCCCTCATGTCTCTCCACCTCCCTGTTCTCTCCCACTCAATGTGTGCGCTGCCTTTGCCTCTCCTCTGATCCCCCAGTCTTTTTAATACATATTTAATGCTGTAATGATTATATGCTATTCCATCTGTGGACATCCCAAACTGTGGCAGAGAGAAATCAATGGCTTTTCCTCTGCTAATGATGTCAGGAAACATCTTCCTCCATCAGTCTGGGGGGGGAAGGACATTCAGGGGCTCTTAACATTAAGATCGCTCAGTAAACCTTAGCTCCTTTTTCTGAGCACTTTTAAGCATACCTTCCACAATGGAGAAGAAAAGACAGTAATTCCTGTGACCGTTGTCCCCGCTGATGTTTACCACAGCTGTCAAAGCACATAACTTCTCTGTAATTATAAATGTGTCGGACTTTTGCAGTTTACATCTTTCAGGTCAGTCATTAGCTAGGTCGGTGAGAGCAGCCGGTCAAAAGGCAAAAAGACGAATAGTGAATGTTCCTGAAACACATTTGTCTGACTTTCAGGTCCAAAATGGGTTTGGACAAAGAGCCGGGCTTAATCCACCTGGAAACCAGCATCTCTGAAGGACGTGAGTAATTGAATTCCAAGTTCAGCTCTCCATTTTCTCCTGTCTTTGTACTGTATTGTGAGCATTGTGTTAAAAGTAGAAAGGAATTGGGAGTTGTTTGAACAATTCCTCTGGGGGTAATGTAAAAGGACAGCGGACATGGCCGAGTCTGGGGACACACAATGACAATGGAGAGAGAAGTAATGCATGCATTAGAATCTTTTTTTTTTGTGATATAGCTTAGTGGTCCTGTATAGTGAGAAATCAGTCATTCTCCTAAATGACAATGAGCAGTGATTTATTGAAGGTTGTTATATTGTATTTGACTGAATTGACTTCTTCTGTTTGATGGCCAAATGATTAGAAAAACTTTTTTTTTAACCATAGTTTATTTCATTATTGATATGTTATGTCTTGCAAGTTAATGCTAACGTTTGTATTCATTATTTATATTTTGTCTGTTTACATTTTGAAAAAAAAAACACTTTCATACTGTTTATGGAAATAGAAAGAAAGAGAAAGAAATTGTTATTTTAGGGAGGACAGCTCAGCCTGTAAAAATAGAATTATTTTATATCCTTATTATGTGATCAGGAGTTCATTATGGGGGCCTCATGAGCTCAAAAAACTACATGTAAAACAAAGTGATGCTGAACAAGAGAATATCTGAATTGATTTGAAAAAAGTAGGAAGTAATACAGACAACCCAACAAATTACCACAACACAACCAAACATCAGTTAGAGATTATAGAAATGACAACCAAATAAACCACAACATATACAACAACACAGCTATACCAAACACAACAGGACGACAAAAAACAAGAAAAACATTCTGCTTCTTTGACTACAACCCTTCCTTTTTCTATTCTAGTCTCCTTTTAGCCACCTCACTGATCACACAAAATGTTCAATCAAAAATGAACAATGGAATAAATCTACAATGCAATGATGCAATAAAAAAATATGATTTTCTCTTTCCATCCAAAAAGCCTTCAAAGTGTCCGTGCCACCGATTGTCTGCGGCCAACACAACACAGAAAAGCCAGCAATACAAACAAACGTAGCAAACATCAGTAGTGTCAGATGTTACAGTCACACAGCCAGAGACTATCACTATTGATCATGTGTACGTGGAGGAAGTGGACACATATTTGGCTGGAGCTAACATGTGGAGACAGGCTCCCTGCAGGCGCTGTGATTGAAGGCAAAGAAAGCAATTGGCCTTTCTGGTCATCTGTCTTCCCCTCCGTCCGGCTCCTCCCTTTCCCCCGATCTGCTTTATTGACACGAGTAATGTAGGAAGCCAAAAGAGGCCGCTTGGCTCAGGGTGAAGGCTGCCTTTCTTCATTGGCTAATACCATTGCTGATGCCATTGCTTGACGTGTGTGTGTGTGTGTGTGTGTGTGTGTGTGTGTGTGTGTGTGTGTGTGTGTGTGTGGGAGCAGAGGCGCTGTATGTCACCTGCAAGCTGCAGAATTGCACCGATGCCAACAAGGGCAAACCATTCCCTGGCTACATTGACCCCAATTCTCTGGTGGTGCAAGATGAGTATGTGTTTGTCCAGGTAGGTAATTGTCCAGTTTGCTCAGTGAAAAGCATTAGAGTGGTGTATGAGGCAGAAATTGTGGGCATTTTATATAAGACATATTTCAAGGTCATTCTAAGAGAGGGGCTATTAGTGTAGCATTCACCCTGTTCTGGTGAAAAATCCTTTATCTGTTTTTTTATGTGTCTCCAAAAATCTTTTTCACTCAACGGTATCATCACCTTAAGGTGTCGACGGCAGGGCGGCCAATCTACTATGTGTCTGCGAAAAGAGATGTCTTTACACCCATGAAGCTGCCCAAGTACACCCTGCCCAAGGTAAAAAAAAAAAAAAACAACACCTGATAAAAAGGAAGTGAAAATGACTCATTACGTCTTCATGATTAAAAAAATATTTATTGTTATAAATAATTATTTAAAGTTATTGTTTGTAGTAGTACTATAATATATGAGAGGTATTTCAAATTGAGTTTGCAGTGCTGCATTGTCTCAGGAGGTTTCTGCATTCACAGACTCTTTATTTGCTCCCATAGCTCTGTTTGGTATTCCGGCTAAAGTCACACCCATTCATGGCTCGCTCCGCGTGACACTCTCTTTGTTATTTATGGACGAATCAAGGCCAAAAGTAGCTCTTGCAGTGATTCCAGAATTGTTATTCCGAGCTGCTGGGAGTGCGCGCGGCCTTGCTTGTCACGTCCCCATTGACAATTAAACATGTTTTATTCAATCAAGCCCCAGGCGCCCTGGTTGCTGTCGGCTCACTGCAAGGTGTTACTGGCACAGTGAGAGGTAGATGAAGCACACAAGTGAACAGCATGGCCTCAGCTGCATAATCTCTGTCCAATGAGCCTGACATAGTGATAATGATAAGAGCATCCTCTTTCAAATACCTGAATACAGCAGATCAAGTATCTCTAATTATTGAATATAATTAAAACCAGCAGGAGTGTCAGAAAAAAAGCATCTTAAAGTTGGCATGTTTCTATTAGAGACAAAAGAGCACGTCTTTTAGATATGAATGAAGCAAATTGAAGCATTTAAAGAAATGTCAAGTACCGATTCTTCAGGCACTAATTAGAAAAAAAAGAATGCAAAGTCAATTATTTTCCAAAGAGGGTGTACACCTTATATCAAAATAAAGAATATACAACAATCAGTGAATGATAGTGCTGCCACAATCGCAAATGTGCATCCTGTTCTTTTTTTAAATTACTGCAAGAACATTCCTCATTAAAATAGATTTCCTTTCATCAGGATGTTGTGTTATAACAACATGTTTTTATTGATTAGTGACACATTATGAACTTTTAAAGATAAACTTTCTTGTTGCAAAAACTAGGAATGCACACTTGCAAGTAGAAGACTTTTGCTGATAATGAAAATGGAAATTAAGTTTTTAAAGTGGAATTCACTAGTGCTGTCAGTGTTAATGTGTTTATTGTGATGCGATTAAGGTCTGAAATTAACTCTTTATTTTTTATTTTTTGGTCCTTTTCGCGCACTGTAAACCACCATGAACACTATTTCACAGAATAAACATGCTGACGCTGTCTCTTGCTTTTTAGTCATGGTTTCAGAACACACTGGTGTAGCACAGCAGCAATTATTGAAATAACACATCAAAAAGTCTAAGATGCTAAGAACTTAAAAGATCATTTGAATCATGGGATTAAAAATATGAATTTGTTAACTTAAAAAAACATCCTCAGCACATTGATGACAAAAATTAGAATATCTTTTTGATTTTTTTTTTTTTTTTTTTGGGGGGGGGGGGTTGCTCTTATTGCAGAGACAGGACAGTGGGAATTGGGGAATGAGAGAGTGAGGAATGATATGAGGGAAAGGGGCCACAGGTCAGATTTGTACCCTGCTGGCACGCTTGTAGGCGTACAGCCATGTGTACATGGAGCGAGTAAACCAACCACTAGGACACTGGTGCCTTAAAAATTGAAATATTGTCTAATAAGCACTTATACTCATGGAAAATAAAAGGTTACATGCTAAACACTTCCATTTTATTTTGAAAGTTGCATACCTTTACAATGATCTGAATAGTCTACTACTTGTGTAACCAACACAATTCAAAAATTCATCCTGTTCATTTGGGGTTGATGCTGTGATTTATGTTGTTTTTGCCATATACAAACATTTGTCTTCTCTGACTTATACAGACCTTATTAGAAGAAGACATATTTTCAGTACACAAGAACGTGAAAGTGAGTTAAGGAAGAGTCACACAGAGCTTGCACATAAAACAACGACGGGATTAAAGGGAATATAAAGCGCTGTGGCAGCATGAGTTATTTTATGTCTGACTGTAGTCAGTAATGTTAACTCTGTCTCTCTGCCAGGACCTGCATGTGATCAGTACAGATGAAAACCGGGTGGTTGCAGCGGTGCAGGAGTGGAACCAAAACGAAACCTACAACCTGTACGTGTCGGACACAACGGGGGTCTACTACACACTTGCTCTGGAGAATGTGGTCAGCAGCATGGGCCTCGAGGGAAACGTCATGGTTGACCTTTATGAGGTAAATGATTCTGGAAGTTAAAACATAAACATATTCACTTCAAGCAGCAAACTAAAGACTCTTTAGTTTTTGTACAGTGCACATGAGGTTTACCACCCCCCCCTCCCCCCACCACCTTCTTTCAAGTCTGCAGACTTCTTTTAAGCCAAACTCTTTATTTAGAACTGTATGATGCCCCACTTGATGAGTGCCCAGCCAGCAACTTTATTATGAAGGCTGATCAATATTTCAGAGCCAGAAGGCAGAGATGATGGAACATACTTGTTTTGTCATTTTGGAAAGGAACCCAGCTGCGGTAGGCCTACAGTCCTCCGAGTACATTGTGTGAATACGAAGCAGCTTCAAAGTGCTGACATCAACAAAAGGCAGAAGGGGGGGGGGGGGGGGGGTATTGTGCCAGGGATATAGATTTTTTTGGGGAGGCCTGAGATTATTTCTTTCTTTGATGAATAACTGCAGATATTACTGCACAAAATGCACCTAATCCAAAAAGAAAACAGAAGTACGTGTCGAGCTCATGCTGAGCCTCTGGAACTGGGAGATCTAATTTCTTCAAGACATACCAGCGCCAATACCTTATCTCTGAATCAAATCATTTAGCTGTTGATGATGCTGCTCATGTCTTTGACGATAGAATCAAATTCACTCTCTTGATTGGGGTCGCCACCCAAAAACGTAGGATATGCTAAATCTCTCCTCCAAAGGAGATTGAAGTATCTGTCAATTACTAAAGTGGAGTTTCAGTGCCTGATGCGACCGTCGCTGATTCGGTTCAGTATCTCTGAGCTATTCCTATGGGCCTCCAACAGGGAGTCAGATTCATTTACGACACACATTGATTACTCAAAAGTCCCCCCGGGCCTGCGACCATTTACTCACTCAGTGTTTGTTGCTGTATTTGGAATACATAAGAGGTTAGCTTGTGTTGGCTGCATCGCCTCAGGGCATGCGATCTACTTTGCAGTGTCTAGCATTCTTCTTGTGCAACGTGTCTTTCAGATATGGAAATACGTGATATCTTTAGGACTGTGGAGCCTGCCTCTGTTTTCATTTTTTGTATTCTCTCTTATTTTCCAGGTAGCGGGGATAAAGGGGATGTTCCTCGCCAACAGAAAGACGGACAACCAAGTGAAGACACACATCACCTACAACAGAGGCAGAGACTGGAGGCTACTGCAGGCCCCGAGCAAAGACCTGCGAGGCAACAGTGTTCACTGCGTGCTGGTGAGCGTCTGGGTATCTGGGAGTGTGCCGGGCATCGTACGTGTTTGTATATTTGTGTGTGTGTGCCTCCATCAAGAGAGAGAGGCCCTGACAGGAGTTGACTGATCCCAGCAGCAACGAGAGGCTGCGCTCAAAAAGAGCAACGCCCGTCAAAGCTGAGTGCTCTGAGGCTGCTGAGCTGAAAGGTCAGCCATTTTGATTCAGTCCAATAAGCCGACCTCCCATTTAAGAAACACAGAGAGAAAGAGGTGTCAGACAGAGAAGCAGACTGTTTGTTCCCCCCCCCCATCTTTCTTTCCTCCTGAAAGCTCCTTAAAGTTCGGTGCTCCTCACAGTCGAGTTGTGTTTGCACTCGGAGGCCACAGTTGAGACGAGTAAAGCAAAGAATCTAAAAGTACATTTCTCTTCAACCAGAACAAAAGAGTTCTGCCCAAAGGACAGCCTTTATCTTCATGAATTCTAACTGTAATTCATTTCTCTTTAAAAGTGGAAAGCTTAAGACTTTTACATCCTAAAAGTTGTTCTTAAAGCTGAAGTCATTATAATTAGTTACGTGTGGTGAAAAAAACAGCGCCAACATGTGGCTGTCAACTTCCAATTGGGAGATTCTTGCTTGCGTCTCAAAGAATCACAAAGCAGTAGTTCTAGCAGTCATTGAATTTGTAAAAAAATAAAAATAAATCTAAGGCCTCCCTTTATTGGGTTTTTATGTTATATTTTTTTGATGATGATGTGATGAGGCTTGAAACATGGTGACAGTGGACGGAGGGTAGGGTAAAGCTGAGCTCCAGTGCTAATCATTGTCTGTGTGATAATGCTTAAACTTACGTTGAAAAAAGTCATTCTAACTAGAGCATATTTTTCTAGTTAAACGATACATTCCTTCATACTCTGCTCATATGTGAACACATCTCAAAAACTGAAATTCTGACAGAGTTCAGACATCAAGTGGAGTGTTAAGAAATAGTTTGCTCACGTTACTACTTTGTGAATTAATTTGGTTTAATGTATTTTATGTAATATCTACTTAAACCTGTTATTTTTCTTAATGGTAATTGGACAGTACTTACAGAACATCTTTGTAGACTTCCTACCTGTGGACAGAGCTGGGGTTAAAACTGTATATCTTGTGAACAGAAGGTTCATATGAAAGTTAATATGTTACATTTATATTCTTAATCAAGTAGAATTATTTCCTGACTTTCTGTTTCCTCTTAACTTTGTACAGATGCTAATAATGTGGGTGTACCATTTGACAACAATTCAAAAGATGACATACGAATACACAGAAATAACAATGAATGCACTGATAGACCATTTCTATTGGTTTAACTGCAGAAACAAACAGATGTGCTGAAGCTCAGTTTTGTTGAACGTCGTCTTCAAAAGCGAAAGTAAGCGGACTATGATGACAGTGTAGACTCCATGGTTTTAATTACTGTTACATCCTCTTTAGTGCTTTATCTGAGAGGCGCATTAGCACACTTTCCCTTAATGTGACTTTCTGTAAAAAGTAATCACCATATTTTTTGATAAACCAATTAGCAATTCTGCGGCATGCTTCGCCTTCTTTCCGTATTATACAGTCATTTGTCAGGAAATGTCAGAGTTTTAATAAACCTCCAAACAGCCCGTCACAACATGGCCTGCACCACTGGCATTTTGCTGGCTCGTAATGAGAATTGTGTCGGTAAAGGTTAACCCAATCAAAATTAATGGTGAGGCCGGCCAATGGGGATATGCTGTTTGGGATCAAACTCAGTGGGGAGGTTGCACCCAAGTCACTCCAACAGACGCTCCATACACAAGTGTCTTTTGAACGTTTTTTTTAACTGACACTGTTGGCTTTGCTCCATCGTTCTGATAATTGACTTTTTGATTTCTTTTTTCACAGCCATACTGCTCATTACATCTTCATCTCCACGTGTCTGCAAATCCCTACACATCTGGAAACATAGCCAGCAGGGAGTCATCGCCGGGAATCATTGTCACATCAGGTGGGTGAGATAAAATCTCTGCTGAGTGGCATGTTGTTTACTCGTTGTATTCTCTCTTGAAGCGCAGAGAGGTTTTCTTTTGAAAAGACAGCCTTTTGATACATGTTTTCAAATGTTTTCTAATGTATTCATTTCGACAATTGTTTCTTTTTAAACTCAATGAATGTTAGCACGTTTTCAATTTCAAGTTGGAATCAGTCATTCTTTACTGGCATTCAAAATCCAGAATGTCATTTACAGCTCTACAATTCACTTAGCAGACGCTTTTATCCAAAGCGACGTACATCAGAGAGTAAGTACAACACAAGCAAGGATCTAAAAAAAGGGAACAATGTCAGTATTGTTTTGGTTACTTTCTTCCAACTTTGGGCAATTCAATTCAATTTTGTTTTTCCAACGAGGAGAGACGAACACCATAGACGTCAGTAAGACAAACAAAGCCAACTGAAAAAAAGAAAAGAAAAAAGAAATCTGCCTCTTACGCATGCCTGCATATTTGTGCATTGAGGTTTCCAACATGGCACTGCAGCTCTCAATGTTCCTTTATGCAACTCCATTCAGCTGTTTACAGATATTGATACCTTTGTTTGTCCCCGTGTTACCTCACCTTTGAATAGAGGTGGATTACACAACACAGGCCAGAACACCAAATATAAAATACAATTCTCAAGGTTCAGCCCTCAGAGCACCATTGTTCGTATGAATCTTGGGGTGGGGGGGAGGGGGAGCACTGGGTCTCATTGACTCAGTGGGGGGAAAAGAAAGAAATAGAGGAATATGAGTTCAGCAGCCCCCAGGCGTATTCACACCTCAGTGATATTTACTCCCCCATGAACCTGCACTGTCAATAACACATCGGCACACGCCCCGGGTGCCTGGAGAAGGCCAAGCTTACGCTTAACGTGTTGGTGTCTGGACCTTCTGTGAAACATTGTGAATCAAACAAATTTTATGGAACAATCGACTGATTTGGTTCGATCTCTGTAGTCATTTAGCCGACAAAACAGCCTAAACAAACAGACAGGGAATGTAGGGTAGTTTTTTAGTTATCAAGTGAAAAAAGAAAAGCTGATAACTATCACTTTTCATGCCAATCATGGCTTAACTTCCCATTTGTAAATGTATTTTCTTTATATTCTGGGCTTATTTCCTTTACTTATCAAGTCTGGTTGTGTAAAGACTTTAAAGGCTTTATATGCGATTTTTTGATCCAGCAGATGTCGCTTGCTCGTTGATTGAGCTCCAGCATGAAACCAAAACAACTCGTGCTGCATTGTTGTGTTAGCATGCTAATGCTAGCAATCTTTATTATGCTGGTATCTTCACACTGCATGTAAATTTACCTGAAATGAGCGTGATCTAGAAACACAGTTAAGCAGTGAGTACAGTATGTTATTCTTCTTTTCTCTAGTCCCTCAATTAAACAACTTTATACACGAGGGGAGGAGTCAGCTGCCGTCCTGGCAATGTAAACAAACTGAAAATAGAGAGTTATTTCAGAGAACATACTTGATTTATTTTATATTTAAGTGTGTAAAATATACACAATATGCATATAAAGCCTTTAAAAAACAATTCTGAGATCAGGTTTCACCAACTGGACTCATTGTGATTGTGAGCTGACATTCACTGTTTATAAAAAAAATAGATGATGCAACTGTGATATCATCTATTTGTTAGTGGACTTCCTTTTATAAGGTTTTGAGTTTGGCATTTCTACGGTGCCCTGTTTTTGCTGTTTTGGATCTTTAAATGACAGTGTTTGCCATGGAATTGACATATTTATGCACTATAGTATACTCTGCTTTATTGTTTTTTAACGTGTGTTATCACTCTAAATTGAAGAAGAGCTGAAACTAGAAGTGGAGACCATGAAGATTTTAAGAAAAGGATTATTGAGATTTTGAGATTAAGATAAACTCAGTTAATTATAGATGGAGAAGTAGGAGGCATTTTCTGGTATTCTTATTTATTCTTATATACCTTTAGATTTCTTTTTTAAATAAATCGAGTCTCCCCCTGCTGGACTTTGAAAGAATGCAGGTTTAAGGCACCTTCACCTTGGCTTCACTTATAAAACCTCTTCTATGTAGTCTATGGCACACAAAGAAACCACTAGATATGATGGACAAAGACTCACAACACTATGGCTCAAAAAGATGGACTTATTTATTTGATATACACATTAAAGAACACAACGCATCGAGCCTGACCAGGCTCTTCATCAGGTGCTGTATCATATCTAGTGAGCACCTAAATAAGTGTGTTTGCTGACTTTTTCTGGAAACCATCCAAAATGATTTGGAGCTGTTAAAATGGTTATGAGGTGTGATTTTGGAGGTTAAATGTCTCATTTAAAGTGTTGATCCTGTTACAGACTATGCTATCTCACCAAATATGATAGAGAGATAGATTCCAATTATTTTGTTTAAAATGATTGCGTTTGACAAATTATGTATGGCCTCTCCAATGGTGCACAGAATAAGAAGGCAGAGAATATAGAGGATAGGAAGCACCTTGTAACTAAAACTGTATTACTATTGCAATGATAGCAAAGACTACAGGAGTTTATGGTCAAAGTTGGGAGGTTAGGTTAAAGAAAAATGTTTTTTTTTTTTTTTGCAGAGCAATGTAAACCACAAAGATGATAAGAGAAACAGAGAACATACATGATGTGCTTTTATCAAGACACTTTATGTTCTGCCAAATCTAAGAAGGACATATTTTGTAACTTTAATGTGATTTAGCAATTACTAAAGGGATGATAGCAAATCATCAGCTCTTCTGACACTAAAGCAAAACCAGGAAAAAAACATTTTCACTATCTCCCTAGCTCAGAATGTTCTGTTCTGTCACTCTCCATAGCGCAGTGCTAAATCTGCTGAAACCTCCTTATGCTAATAATTCAAATGAGTCCAGCTCTGAAAAAACGCTTCTTGGCCACCAGTGAAGGTGGGATACTCCAGGGGATGAGAGTCAATGTCACTCCTTTTTTAAAAAGTCGGTTGGAAAAGACGACAAGCAGAGTGCTGAAATGCAGAGCCAGTACTCAGCCGACTTTAGACTTTGAAATGAAAGTTAGTGTGAAACCAATGTTCAATGACATTTGGATTGCCACTAGATATACTGTATGTGTCTGGTGTAGACAGTCAGGGAGAAAGATGGAGGAACACTGGAGAAACAATCAGTCAGAGCTGCAAACGGTTTGAAGATGTTTACTACTATCTGGTCTGTAAAATAATCAATTATGAAAAATCCCCAAGTAGAAAAAGCTATACCGGTTTAAATATAGATGACATTTCAAATATTTCTGTCACTTTTTCTTGCTGTCACATCGTTTCTTTTTTCTTAAGACACGTTTTGTAACTGTACAAGGGCTGTGTTCCTACAGCATGCAGCTTACTGTGTGTATATTAACTGTTGGGGTCAGAAAGTGAAACGATCAACTCTGATGAAATCAACTTCCACTTTTCTTAAGATGTTGAAGATGGCGGGCTGTTCAAACAAAAGAGCTTCACTTTGCATAAGTGCACTGCTGAAGCCATGAGGAAAGCTTTAATAAATGAACAGCTGATCCGGTTGAGAGTGCGGCATGCTCAGGATGACATAAGTTGTCTGGTTCAAAAAACGTAGCAGCGACAGGAAAGGTTGTGTGACGTTGAAGTGATGAATTTTCAAATATTCTTATACACTGATATTAACTGATGGTGAGTAAAATGGTTGTTATTCTTTGAAGTTACATTTTTGGTGGCTAAAATACCTTTTGATGAGGGCGCTGGGGGCGTGGTGGTTGGTGTGCACGCACCAGTCTGAAGTTCTACTAGCGGGCAGCCCGGGTTCAAGTCCAACCTGTGGCTCCTTTCGTGCATCTCATTCCCTACTTTCTCTTTTTCCCTGATTTCTGATTCTATCCACTGTCCTATCTGTAGAATAAATGCACAAAAGCCCCCCCCCCCCCAAAAAAAATGAAAATAAAATAAAAATCTGAAATGGCTTTGTTTTCTACCTCGTCTACAAGGCTACTTAGCTTTGCTGCCGTGTCAGTACTTCTCTGCTTAAGTATAGATATGATCACAGCTGCAAGGGGATAATATTTCAATTGTCTGCTATTACACTTTAAAATCAGAGATTACAAAACTCATTGTTTTTTCATGAGGTTTTAGAAAAGGGGAAAATCATGCCTCTAAAACACAAACAGTATGTTACAGTGTGGTGTTTAAGAATTACTCGTTACATTAAAGAAATGACATCCTTCTCGACTACATCAGGAAAGCCCTGTTAAAAACTGTCAGAAGTGATGTCATAATAATCTGGAGTTTATTGGATAATTCTGGAGTGTGCGTGAGAGTCACACGGCACAGTAACAGCAGCTCTTGTGGAGAACTGTAATTATAGTCCCAGTCTGCAGCTGCAGGCTGGAGCCCCCCTGCTGAATCCCCACTGCCAATATGAAGGCTCTTTATAAAAATTGGGAATTTGTTTGATCTTGGACTGCATTATGCAGTTACCCAGCTCAAGCACTCACTGTGGTTTGTCCTTTTTTTATTCTGTTCTGTAAAAAACGCCCGCCTTCCCTCCAGGCTCCATCGGCTCTGAGCTAAGCACCAGCAACGTCAGTGTGTTCATCACATCGGACGCTGGAAACACGTGGAGACAGGTGAGGACATGTCTCATTACAATCAAGTAATATTGAATTCTTCTCTTCTTTTGGGAACATTTTAAGATGAAACTAAAATGTTTCTGTTGCTATTTTTTGAATTATGATAAAAAAGAGAGTTGGACATTTGCCATGACAACGATGCACTGACACTTCACAGCCAATGACGCATAGATGTTCTCACTTTTCAACAAGCCCATTGACAGTTATAATATTATTAGTATTAAAGTATTAATATTATGTTATATTATTAATAACCTTATATTATTATAATATCATGTATTTAAATTCTCCCCACTTAACAACAGCCAAACCTCAGAACATAAATATGTTCGAGGTTTGGAGTGTTAAAAAAGAAATGTAGGAGTGTAACAGCTGTTAATGTTAGCCCATTAGCTGCTTTATTTAAAGGCTAAATAAAAAACACCCATTGAAAAAGACTCATGTAGGGACCTCTAAATGTTTGCAGTATTTTGATTTTTTTTAAATTATATTTTTGACTAAAATGAGAAAAAAAAAAGAATCACAGATGTAAATTTAGTTGACATTCATTAGTTACATGAGTACACAACCATTTCTATCCAGCACAGCAGCTGTGCCATTAAGTGTACTTTCCCCATGGTTTATTTTGTTCTCTTTTCACCCATAAGAGAGACATTCGTTCTTCATTCTGTCCTCATTATTATTTTGCTCATTGTGGGTGAGCACGTTTTTACTTGAGTGCATCATATTAAAAAGGTGTTTCCAATATTCTGCCCCTCTCACATTTTATCAACATGTTAGACCAATAATAGTAATACCTCTTTATACACCAATGCAAGCTGTCACCTTGATTTTAAATATAGATGTATCCATGATTTATATCAGGAGGTATGCATATTTTGTGAATTTATTTTTTAGTGTCAATTAGCACTTCTTTGGCTGAGATCAGCTTTCTGCAAATATTCGCACATGTACCGACTGCAGTAAATATCATATAATGAATGTGATTCATAACGTTGCACCTGATAATTAATATTTCTAAGGATGAGCCAATCATACCCACATGCCATATGGAGCACTATGAACTGACTGCCCTGCCACTTAAAATATCCACCTCCTCCCCCTCCACCTCCACCTCCACCTCCTCCTCTTCCTCGCCCTCCCTCTCTCTGGTTTTGTCATAAAGGCTTTTTATCCTCATACACTAAGCAACATGTTTCAGGTTGATAATCAAATGAAATCTTGGCAGTGATTTGATTCAGTGCATACAGTGCTGGTGGGTTTGCTCCCTTACTTCACTACCTCATGTTTTTAATTTATGAGGCTTGTTCCTAATTCAACACAGCAATAAAAAATTATTATACAGAAGCTGATGTAGCAAGTTCTGTCTGTGATGTATACTTTATGTGTGTGTGTCTTGCGTGTGTGTGTGTGTGTGTGGTGTATTATTACTTCACTTTCTTTAATGATTCAGCGTGGGTGTGAGCAGACATGTGTTGGACATGTACACGGCTAATAAGCCACTGTAGAGTGAACCCTCTTTTTCTTTTTCTTTTTTCTGTGTCTCTGTAGATCTTCAACGAGGAGTACGCAGTACTGTATCTCGACAAAGGAGGAGCCTTAGTCGCCATAAGACACACTCCGCTACCTATCCGACACCTGTGGTGAGTCATTATGACAGAGACGCAGCATTTGTCACAGCATGACTAATTCTCTCAGAGGACGCTCCAGGTCTTAAGTAAGTCAAACAAAGGCAAATGAGTTTGTCTTCAGACAGGGGGATGATACAATTCTGGCTCAACAAAAAAAACCACCAGCCATGGTGGAGAAGTCTGCTGCTTTGACAATTGTCATTCAATTTCCCCTCTCCGTTGTTTGAAGCCATAATGAGTCTGGCTCTGCTGATCAGTGTTCAGTGAGCAGAGCGCCTCAGCCCTGCGCAGAATGAAAAATGCAGACGTTATACACCTCTCAGGGTCGTTAGCTTGTGCACACATTCGAGGTTGTGAGCATTGCTTCCTTTTTGTGTTGCCAGGTTGAGCTTTGACGAAGGGCGGCAGTGGAGCAAGTACAGCTTCACCAACAGTCCTCTGTTTGTGGACGGGGTGCTGGGAGAGCCCGGCGAGGAGACGCTCATCATGACGTGAGTGATTTGTCAACATGGAAATCTATCATTCACACTGAAAAATCAAAGAAATAGCCTGTGTGTGTGTTTGTGTGTATTTCTGCTCTCCTCTGTGGCAACCCAAACTTTCATGCCTTTATATCTGAGCCTGCTTGATTCAGCATTCCTGACTGCCTGACTGTTTTTTTTTCATGAATAAAAAAAAGATTTCTCACAAGGTCTACTGCACATCAAAACTGGCTGTCTTCAGATTATGATCACAGGAGATCAATGCCTTGGCAGCCAGCGACAGCGTGACTGTCCATTTGAAGAACATGAAGGAAACATGCTCAAAATGATCAAAAATATGCCTGGAAAAAAAGAACAAGAAACTTTGTTTTAAAAAGTTTTAACTGCATTAAAAATTGGGAAAGAGCAGTGTGTGCGATCCGGCTCGTCCTCAGAAAGCAGATTTATGACGATTCCTTTTGTGCACTTTCCCATTTATCATTAGAATGGCCCAGAGCTGGGTGCATGCATATGGTATGACACAGCCCTGCTCCCTTATTGCAGCAGAGATTTTAGGACTTGGGGATGTGTTAGCAAAGGGTTTCCACAGCCATTACATCAATGTTTCATGACATCTGCCACAAATGACAGACTGACAGTCAACTCAGTAGTCAGCTCTACGGGAGAGTGAAAGGGCACAGCTGGAGAGACAGAGAGGGAGAGAGAGAAGAGGAAAGTGCACAGCGATAGTAACAAAGAAGAAACAAGAGTGGGGAGGCAAAGAGGCAGTGGACAGACAACACCGGCAGGTTTGCACTGAAATAAGTTCTCCAGCATGGAGCCTCTCGGCTAGCAGAAGTATACCATTTGTTTTCATAAGACCATCATGCATTGTTTTCTTATCAATTTGTATTCATTCTTACAGTAAGTGCCTGTCATGGTCAAGTGCCCCTAGAGCTAATTGACAGATTGATTGTGATAAATATGTTGTGGTATGAATGGCGAGTGGGTCACTGCAGAAAACACATCCACTCAATTTAGCTGGAGATGGAATATTTATCTGGTTAGTCTTATAACCTTGGATTCTACTTTGTTTTGATCATTGAAAAAAAATGTGGATAGTCATTATGATTGAGCATTTCAGAAGCAAAACATTATAAGCCCAAACTTGCCAGTCAATAAAACGACATCAAAAGAAAGATTTCTAGATTCTGTGATTTACTATAACATTATTGTGATTATTAGATTTCTATGGGTAAAGGTGTATGAGGCGGTGATAATGTACCAAGGTCTTCTGTTATTCAGCGGTTTCTATCACTCTAAATCTCTGATATTTTCGGCCAATAAATCATATGACCAAGCCTGTATAAGCCACCTGTTTAAACCAGCTGGGCAGTATAGTCACTGTAGCACTTTCATCACATCGGATTTTTAGTTAGCTACCTACGCTACTGTTAGCTAACACAAGATGCAGCCTGTCAAAGGGTTCTAGTTAGGAACATTAAAGCCTACACAAAATTGACTACTTAAATACTGTTTTGAAATCTTTGTTGGCTGATATACAAAAGCCTACCGATAGATATCAAATCACTTTGATCCCACAAAGCTTCTGGAAAACGTTTCCTTAATGGCTCTACTTAGGATGTGCACCGGCTTGTCCTTAGCATGTGCACTGCTATGCACCAAACTTTGCTCATGACATTTTACATGAGTTTGATTTAGAAGAATGTGAGGAATAACAATACTTGTTAGCACAGCTATATACTATCATACTAGCATGTATTCAGGATCACCTACGTAGGAAATACAGAGATTATTATGATAATGATTAAAGCACCTGTACACCTATAGTGCTGCAGTGATGAGGTGACAGTATAGTATAATTATACTAAGTATAATTAAGGGTTAGGGGTTGGTTTTCTTTGTTGGTTTTGGTCTCCTTGTGGAATATCTGAAACAGATTACCACTTTCCCAATGTTTGGAATATGTGTAATGATAATTCCAATCTCTGTTCTCATCCTCCTTTCTTTAGGATTATTTCTTCTCTGTATTGTTTTCTTTGTGTTGCCGTTGTTCTTAGTTAAGCATCTTTGAGTATTCAGAAAAAAACTGTGTAATTCTAATGTATTATTATTATTGTTATTATTATTAATAATTACCTGCAGTATGTGTCTAATGAGAAGCATCTTTTGCGTCTCTTTCCAGTATATTTGGTCACGTCAGTCATCGGTCAGAGTGGCAGCTGGTGAAAATAGACTTCAGGTCCATCTTCAACAGGAGGTGTACAGAGGCTGATTATCAGACATGGCACTTGCACGACGAGGTACAAACATTTTATCATCATTATTATTGATTAAAATTTGATATTTTGAAATAAAAATACTAAAGGAAAAGTAAACATATCTTTATAACTAACTCATCTAGGAATTTGAATACCCATAATAACTTTATATATGTACGTAGGAATTCCCCGAAAGAGAATTCAGTGAACATGTCAAACATACTGTGTAACATACTCAGTAGTGATTGTTTATGCAGCCTTTGCTTTTACTATACATATACTGTATATCAGCTATAGACATAACAAAAAGTTGTGTGCTTGTTGTGGTCACCAGGTTTGTATTTGTTGGTTTACCTGGGGACACTAAAGAGAACACAGCATTTTAGCATCCAAATAAGATTGTAGAGAGTAAACATGGTGCTCAAGGTAACACAAAGGGGCTGATATCAGGTTCAGCCCATTTATCTTATGTCAGCACTCTCAGCTTATTGACACGCCCTCATTCTGCTGCATAAACAAAAAAACCCAAAGAGGATTAAAGGTTGACTGCTGGAGCTATTTCTTCCAAAATAAGTTTTCAGTCTTCCGTCATTAAAAGTCAACCAATCTGAAGTTTGACGAGCTTGTAATCTTTTCTACAATGCCTCCCAAGGTTCAATAACAGAGTTAAGCTTGAGCAGGGCTGCTTGGCAAAACTGAAGGCTGTCATCATTAGAGTAATGTGTGATCAGTGGCTGACCAGCTTTGCTTTTAGCCTGGCTGTGGAGGAAGTGGACTGAAGCGGGATGTCTCTCGATACCCAGAGCACTTATGCAGATTCTCTGCAGATTGCTGCGGATGCTGCTAGTGCTCCGTGAATCCAACCCTAGCCCTCCCCCCTTTCCCCTGCATACATTAAACCTCCCTGAAAACCCCTCAACCTGTCCAGGCCTGAAGCCGAGCCAGGGACTTCGTAAGCACCTTTAGTCATGGCCACGTTCTGTTATTGGTTTGGACAACCATATGCTCTGAGCAGACTGATGATCCAAACATATAGCATGGAAGATGACAAAAGTCCAAGCCAATTACAGGGATAGCCTGCCTAATTGTAGACGTCCATGGGTCCAAGTTTACTGTGGAAATAAGGTGAACACCACCTCAAAATAGAGGGCAGTGTTTGTGTTTAAGGACCACTGGGGAACTTAAGGACAATTTCCGGCGCTTTGAATCTGTTTTTGGAACAGCCAGATTTTAAAGTATCTCACTAGTGACACCTAATGCACAAAGACAGAAAGTTCTGGTAATAAAAAGCAGCAGTAGTTATATGGGAGGATGCAGTGACACAGACTGGTGTTATCCTCTTATCTTTTTTTTTTGTACTCTAACTGATTGTAGATCTACTTCCCACACATAGATACATGTCTAAAAATGGCTTGGTTGCTGGGAGCTTTTGAAACTGCAGTTCCTACTTATTCATTCCTCTCAATATCTCAACAACAAATGAAAAAAAACCTTTAAAAAAAGAAGAACTCAAGCAGCACATTCTCAGGTCTGACACTCGTGACGGAGGAACAGTTGTTTAGTTTAACACACCACACAGCACAAATCCCTAAAAAAAAATAAAAAAAATTGCTGAACAGGAATGCACAACAAGCCGAAGTAAGGCAGCGGTGCTTTTCACACACCCAGAGATGTACTTATGCTTGGTTGCATCGTGTAAATTATTTATGGTGGCAAGTTACAAAAGCGGCTCATTTTTTTAAAACTCTCTCCGTGTGATTTTCCTCTTGGTTCTCTGTTGAAATCGACCTTGCAGGGAGAACCGTGCCTCATGGGAGTGAAAAGAATTTACCGGAAACTGAAGCCCCCTTCCAGGTGCGTTATGGGAAAGACGTACTCTGTGTCGATGACGTCTGGCCCCTGTGACTGCACAGAAGCTGACTTTGAATGGTGAGCATTTTTTTGTCTTATTTGACCTTTTTTTACACTCCTTTATTCAATCCCACTTGCATTCCATCTGTTAGGTTGTTCAATGAAAAGTCAGCTGACTAAGTACTAAGGTAGTCAACGAATACAATTATGCAACTAAGCACATGAAAATGGTTGTATAATTCATTTGTTTTCTCTCCAGAATACTGGCTTCAAGAATTCTTCTTGTGCCATGGCCTGATACATATCACTGAATATGTGGTGTATGAACAATTTTTTCTTATGTTTAGTCAGGGATGGTTTTAGACCATGCTATTACTGCAGGTCTCCATCCTTGTAAGGGGTCAGGTCCATAAAACCTGGGGCAAAATGGCTTTGTATGTATGTATCCTCAAAAGTTTAAGGCCCAAATAAATTAAGAAAACAAACTCTGTAAATCCATTTTGGTTTTAATCTGTCATTTAAGACCCACAAAGGCCTCATGTCAAAATCATCAGGGTTGAAGACTTTGAATATACTCTATAATACAAAGCCTGGTGCATGGAGTTGTTTAGTATGTGGAGTGTTGGCAAGGCAGGAAGGCTCTAATGAAAATAATTGTAGTTGCATCATGGTAAGTGGTAAATGCTTGATCCAGGGATTTCGAATCTTGACCTTAAGTAAGACTAATATCTAGAATGCCTCAAACCCAGTGGCTTTCATTTTGACTGTTCTTTTATAATAAGTCATGTGTGAGCTCTCAAGACTTTAACATCAGTGCAATATAACTTCCCCAGACCTTCGCCTTTAAATAAGCTACTGCAGCCAAAATTTTGTATTGAATTTTACAATAAAAGATTGAACAAGTCCCCCCTCCACATGGGCAGTAATTCAGCATAATGTTGGTTTCCCAGTGTAGTTTAAAAATAAGGATACCCAAATCTAAATCTTTTAGCATGCTCTTTAAAATGTGGTGAAGTTGTGTTTGAAGTTTACCTTGATCACAGAGCATGTCATTCAACTTCAGGACTTACCCTGCATAGATTTTGGATTTATTTTGGACGTATGTATTATTCTTTAGTAACTTTCTAAAACAGCTGGGCAAAGGACTTAAAAAAAGAAAATGCTTCTCAACCTTAGTGCTTTTTGGCCGTTGATGAATGGCTCATGGTCCCAAATGAAATAATCTCTTTTGTATTTCTGGACAAAAGAGTGTTGTTTCCCTGCAAACTGAAAACTTTGCATACACTGATTGTTGTACACTCTTTGTGTCAAATTTTTCACAGCCAACAAGTGTAACAGTGGGCTGAACAAATATTCACTATCTATTTGCAGACTGTGTTATCCTATGTCCCCTTTCAGCACCAAATGTGAGCAGTTTAAGAATGTAGACCAGTAAAGACACCTAAATAGAAAGAAAACACGTCTGCAACTTCCCTACACTTTCAGGAAATGTCCATTGGCCATTGTCCTCTTGTTTAAGACCTATATTTGGAGGATTGTGTAATTAGACACAAGTGTAAAATTACGAGCTAAGCTTTTCAAAAGTTAGATAAGATTATGTGGAAAAAAAACGTGACATTGATGAATGGATGGAGAACAGCTTTCACAATGGATTTAAGTGTAAACCAAGATATTTGTCCCAAGTATTCTGCACTCTGTGTCAGACTTATGTGTGCAAATGCATTTTCCTATATTCCAGGGTTTAAGGGGACTGAGTTCAAGTGAGGGATTAGAGATAAGAGATCAAACGTCATGGTTAACATCCCACAGATTATAATTGTAGAGCACCCCTGGCAGATTCTCACGGAGGCTGCTGCTGATAAATGGAAACCAGTCAGCTGCTTAAACATGTACCGACAGTGTGTGTGTGTGTGTGTGTGTGTGTGTGTGTGTGTGTGTGTGTGTGTGTGTGTGTGTGTGTGTGTGTGTGTGTGTGTGTGTGTGTGTGTGTGTGTGCGCGCAGGCGTGCGTTTATGAATCTGACTTAAAGGGGACCTTGATGTCATTTTACATCCACCAAAAGGGGACTAACAATCCAACAGTGGACATTTAGAAAAACCCCTGTTAGTCATGATTTCATATATTCAATCAAACTAAAACGATTTATTAAAAAGCTCCTTTGTTTCCTTTTTAACTTTGACCCAAAGAGGACCAGAGGGAGTTTGAGTACTCATTACAAGATGTTCAATTGATTTCCCATGAACGTGTGCCATTTTTCACTGCTTAAAGGTCAAATTATTCCGAGAAATAAATGATAATGTTCACAGTACTTTTTACAGCTGCTGTTTGATATTCTTTGAACAGCTGCAACTACAAAAGGAGTTTTCCACATTCTTCCATACTGCTTTCTTTGAATTATCAGCATTATTAGTGTTCCTTCTTTCTTCTTTTTTTTCATCTTTTTTTACTTTGGTCCCAGATCTGCAGGTCTCTTGAGTGAGGCAGCTCTTGGAATAAGCACCATCAAAACCATAAATCACCAAGCCTAATAGCTTTCATTAACAATCGCAACACTTTTTGCATCTGCGTGCATGTAGCTCTAATTGGGGCAATTTGTCCCTATCATTTTGGGGATGCGGCGCTGCTCTGCCTTTTAATTTGTAGGACAAACAACTTCTGGGATGTGTTTAAGAAGCGCCAAAGAGGCTCAGATCCATTGCTGTAGCTACTGTGAAGTCAATGTAAAAAGAAACATTACGTTTCTGCAGGCTGTTTCTGCAACTCTGTCAGAATTCCAATGTCCAATAAGTGTAAAATACATGGCATTCAATCTATTTTCAACATGGAACATAATTGAATCTTCTGATCAATTCGTATAAAGGTTATCTTAGGCATTAAGAAGAACTTGTCAAAGTCTTGGTATAGTCTGTTTCTTGTTTGAAGTGTCCAACATGAGGCTCAGAAATTTTGGAATCTGTCTTGTCAGTGATTTATCTGTGGTCCCTGATTGGATGACGGTTTCTTTTTTTCTCTGCTAATAATCTTTACAGTGATTATGGCTATGAGAGGCGGACAAACGGCAAATGCACGCCAGCCTTTTGGTTCCATCCATCAACAATGTCCAGGAGTTGCACCACAGGGATGACTTTTCTTAACAGCACTGGGTAAGTGCAGGATGAGAGCTGACCAGAATATGACAATACATCCACTATAGAGACATGCAGGTACTGGGTAAAATGAACTATACACTAAAGTTGAAATGGCTCAATTGTTTAGTTTTTCCAGTGGCAGAAAAAAAAGTGGGCTTTATCATAGAGTATTTAAAAAAACCACATTTCCTTATCAGAGCTTATCTTGTCCATGTTTTGGCCATATGTGCCTTTTGAAACTTCAGGTTCGGGTTGCAAACACACAATAGAATCAGAATCAAACAGTGCACACCTGGCATAGGTGTAATTGTTAAATAAGTAAGTAATACCAAAAAGTCTTACAGTTTAGCTTCCAATATTTTCAGAATACTCTGGCACATGTCAGACAAGCGAATGACAATGAATTCTTTCTTCTCCTGCATATGGAGTCAGTCAAACAGTAAGTAAATGCTGTTTGTGTTTTTCCTCACTCCCAGATATAGAAAAGTAGTCTCTAATAACTGTACAGCTGGAGTCAGTTTGGAGTACACAGCCAGGAGGCAGCAGTGTCCAATCCAAGCGCCTAAAGGTCTCCACCTGGTCACCAGTGAGGGCACGCTGTCGGCCACACTGGGCACCAATGTCACCTTCCTTGTTTTTCTGGAGGAGGTAAGCTGATTTTCTGTACTTCTCAAAAAAATCTTTTAAACTGTCAAACCAACTCAATATTTTTTATATACTGAAGGTAAACAAGGGAAGAAGGGTGTGAATCTTTTTGTATTTTTATTTTATTTAAAATGATGTAGTGTTAGTTCATACTTTAAGAATGTTGGATTTGTTCTGTGATTCAACTGAATGTGTCATAATTTAGGAGAAGCACTCTGTCACTCTCTTTGTCTTATGTTACATGAAATAAAGTTGTTTTAATTTGATGAAATTAAGAATATGGAATTGCAGATGGCTAAGGTTGGCAGATGTGCCTTCTACTTTAAAATACATCTCCTGACTGTACAAAAAAATGAGCTGAGCAGTTGCATCCCTTCTTTAATGTATTAGAACCAGGCAGGTATTAGAATAAAAATACAAATGTGAAATATATTATATTCTGAGATAAAGAAATAAAGAAATCCGGACATTATACACTTAAAGCTTGAATAAAGTCAATAATAATCAATCACAAGAGCTACATGCAATTTTAGCTTTATGTGTAAAAAGAAAGTAGGGATTGACCATTTGAATGGAGAGTAAATGGACTAAATGGTAAATGGACTGGAGCTTTTATAACCATTTTCTACCAATGACTCTACCAACTGAGCCACAGCTGCCCGAAAGGACGCTAGCACATTAAAAACAATAATTTATGTAAACATGAACAATCCAACAATTCACTTACAGTAAAGATGAAAACTCCCCCTGTAACAATACAACAGGTTATATGCTTTATGGGGTGGCTGCCTGACCTGACGGCACCACTGCGACCTGCCCGTCAGGATAGAGGCCAGAAATTAATATTCACATCCATATTCATGACGTAAGACAAAATTCAAAATTGTAGGCTTTTAAACAGCATTCCACAATCCTATTAGTCACGACATTCTGACAACATCCACTTCCTTCAGGGTAAGAATAGCATACGTTACCTGAAACCTGAGGGAGTCTTTGATAAAGAGCCGAATTAGCAATTCCCTTTTTTTTTATGCAGGGTGACGGTGCGAGGACAAGTATCACTCTGGACTTTGGGGACGGCCATGCTTTGACCTACTCCAATGTAAGCTCCATTGAGGATGGGATCAAACACATCTACAAAGCCGTGGGGATCTACCGGGTTACTGCCACCGGGGAGAACAGCCTGGGCTCAGAGACGGCTATGCTCTACCTGCATGTGACATGTGAGACATTCCAGAGTTTTGAAACACCTGTGTGTAAAAACTTGTTCTTTATTGTATCTTCTTAGTCTTTCCTTCTTGCTTTTTTGCCTTAAATTTGCTTTCCACTTTTTATCACATTCATTGGAATTGCTGCTGTCAGCCCCGTACACTGTGTACCACATTCTGTGCTTTATCTCTGCAAAAGAACATGCTCCTCTTCCATAACCAAACAAACAAGTAAGATAGAACAAATCCCAATGCACTCCCACTCAAGTCGACGTATGCTTCACAGACGCTCCACCCACAGAAGCCCTCATATGTAACCGGGCTGACCACCCCAAGTGTATTCAGGGAGTGACAGATGTATTGGAACTGACTTATTGATCAGGGAGCAGATGCCCCCACCGATCTGTCAATCCTTTGTGCCAGCCAGACAAATAGAGCAACTGCAGGCTCAGGAGTGACACGGATGAAAAATAACACACAGATGGCAGCAAACAGTCCCAGGTCAGGATGAAAATCCTGAACAAAGACGTGCCTCCCCCCTAGCCCAACTCTTTCCCAGTACCTTCACTTTTTGTTTTAATTCGAAACAATAAAGATGTTGTTTTTCTATTTCTATTTTTTTTGCTGGGCGCATGCTATGCACTGCATTAGATTCACTCTGTGATGTATATGTGTGTCTGAGTAGGTCAGCTGGAGTATATCCATCTCTCAGCTCCCTTTGTGGCTGTGAGGAATAAGGAAGTGAACCTTACTGCAGTTCTGTGGCCCAGCCAAGTGGGAACGGTCACCTACATCTGGTGGATCGGAAATAACACAGAGGTACTGTACACTCCAGACTTTTCCCTCTTCTTTCTGAACTTTTACCTCTTCTCTGCAATTAAGTAGGTTGCTGACTCTTCTGCTCTGAAAAGGGAGAATCATTATTCCATTTAGCTATTTCTGTGTATCCAGGTTGCAAAAAAAGTTGCAGCCTTGTTAATCAGCTCAGATGAAAAATGCAGAGCATGCTGATGTATGTGAGACACAAGGCAGGTTAATTACTGTTAGCCAGTGATGTGAATCGTCATTTATTCTTTCTGCAATAGCTAACACCTGAAGCTGCCAGGCAGCCCCGCTTATGTCCTACAGAGTTGAAAATACCATCCTTGTATCTAAGCAGACTGGTTTTTGCACACAGATTTGAAACTTCTGTTGCCAATTCAGTGAAAGTGGAAATACATTATTCTAAGGGAAGTGAGTGACACGTTGTCACAGTCACTTAGAATCAGAAGACGCTTTCTTTGTAAATAAAGAACAGCACTTAAGCTGTAAGACTGGGAAAAAAAAAGCAAACCAATTAACATATTTAAGAAAATAAGTGTTTCCAGAAATCGGGCAAACGGTGACCCAAAAACTTTAAAACATCACCTCATTACGTCTTTACACCGCTAAGGATACATGGGGATATATTTTGGGGGAATTTCAGGGTACTTATCCTTAATATGTCCACTTTAAAAGGAAAACTGCATTTTATAAAATACCACTAGAATCTGAGAAGATGTTTATAGCTAGCACGGGCTGTTAGATGATTTTGAGACACTTAAAGACCAACCTCCATCTCTGTGGACCAAACAGATTTAGATGCTCTGAACACTGAAAGCCCCGAATGTAGCAACGCTGCACTCTTACTATCTGTCTTCATGATTGTGTAAATGTGTTTGTTCAGCACCATCAAAGGCCTTCCCCACAAGGACAGCCTCTTATGTCAAGCTGTAATAAACTGTGGCTGTATTAGCATCTCTCTGCTATTTGAGGACCAAATGGAGACGTGAGTCATGACAGGAAGGGGCTGCCAGTGTCACAACAAGGAACTCTCTCTGGGCCCTTACGCTGTATGAAGCACAGCACAGATTTTTGCAAACTCTCTCAGTGTGTGTGTGTGTGTGTGTGTGTGTGTGTGTGTGTGTGTGTGTGTGTGTGTGTGTGTGCCAGCAGGCTGACACCTCCGTAGTGTAAATAACAGCAGTGTGAGACCAGCCGTTGATAAGAGTCTCTCACTGGAACCCCCCAGACTCTCATGCTCTCTATCTCTATCCCCCCTCATCCATACCCTCTCTCTATCTCTCTATCTCGTCCCCAGCAGCCTCTAATCACCCTGGAGGGAAGCGTGGCATGCACATTCTCCCGGGAAGGCATCAGTACAGTCACGGTGCAGGTGTCCGCTGGGAATACTATTCTGCAGGACAGAAAAACCATCGCTGTCCACGGTGAGCTGTCCAACTCTTGGTACTCCATCTCCACCGGGGATCTGTAGCTGTGTAGACACACCAGCAAGAAGTATCATAACATTTGACATAGTAACTCTAATACTGATTGATTAGTATTGATTTTAATCAATACCAAAGGAGAAATTAGCTTGAGTTTACAACTTGGATCTTGAGTGTTTTATTGTTTTTTTTGCAAAAATTACCCACTTTCTGTCGAGTGAGCTCATAGAAAAAAATGTTGCTCATGAATAGATAATAAATATTGCATGAAGAATGGGTATCACCCGTCGACCAGTAATACAACTTAAAGTATGTATTATGTCTGAAATACAATATAACTGTGCTGTAGCTATCGTCTCGTATCCTACCATATTGTATCGGATCTATCTATGGTATGGTATTTTCTATCACATCCTATCGTAACATATGGTATCGTATACTATCGCACCGTCCCGTATCGTAACATCAATGTGTCTGAAATACAGTAGAACTGTATGGTATGGTATGGTTTGGTATTGGATTATATCGTATTGTATTGTGATTTATTCTATCATAAATCTCGTATTGTACGAACATGTGACTCTGGTGAGACAATGCAATTGCTTAAAAAAAGAAAAGCAGAAATTACAAGCAGAAAGGACAAAAGACTGGACGTGTTTTTGGAAAAATTCCAGATTCACCAAACCAGTTAAACAGGAAAGAGACTCTTACCAGAAAAAAATCTGTCCACAGACGCTTGTCACACAACAACCACTAATAACACTTCTTTGTACAGCTTTGACCTATTGCATGCTTTATTTTTACATACACATAATAATATAACATTGTCTCTATTAATAATAATAAAAAAAAACATTAGGGCTCTTCACATTGATTCCTACATTAAAAAGCCACTGCAGCCCCACATAACCAGCAGGTCTCTGACGTCCTCTGATCACAGTTTGCTGCCTGTTACTCGCTTCAGGCTCAAAACTTAAGGAGACTTGTGCTTTTGAAACTATTGCTCCTAAACTTTGGAACTCTCTCCCTTTGGGCTTAAGATCTGTGGATCGTGTGGTAAACTTCGAAGAGCAGCTGAGGGACTACCTGTGCAGCTTTACCTTCCTTTAGTATTTATTTATTCTTTGTTTTATTTCTGTAATTTCAAGATTCACTTATATGAGCTGCTGGATGGGGAGTGGAACCAGTAAAATTAGTTGTCTACAATATGTGGCTAATCCATGATGAACTCAATCTCTTCATAAATGTTATTAAATTCAAAGTGTCTGCCGTCAGTTATAGGCATTCAGTCATGAAAGTTCAATAACTGATTTTTAATGGCACAGCATTCTTCATTAAATATATTTGATCACAATATGTAATAGATTAGCACAATTGGTAGGTAACATAACTTTAGGCTGTCAGAATCATCACCCCCTCCTTACTAGGAGAAAGCATTTCAAAGACTTTACTCATTGTTATATTATCTACAAAGACCCAACATGAATCCATCATGAGCACAGCACTAAGCAACATTTAGCAAAGTTTCAGTGGCGAGGACAAAATCATTTTTAAGGGGAAGAAACCTCAAGCAAAACCCGACTCATGATGAACAGACATCTGCTGAACTGTGCTGGGCTTGGACAGTGGGATAGAGGGAGAAGCAGGAGGAACGATAGGGAGAAAACTGAGCAAAAACAATGAATACAGATTTTTTATTTTTAAGATATATTTATAGCTACAATGTCAGTAATAGCTCCCGTAGTTCACATCCTCCCCCCTTGTTTACTTCCTACAGAGTGGCTGGCTGGGCACAGGTAATGTGCCACCATGCCACAGGTATTTGGCTGAAGGTGATCTGCAATTTTAATGACACTTTAACCCCTTAATAGAAAGTGACTTTATTAATTAATTAAGTGAAATGTAATTTTCTTTTGCAAAATTGTATCGGTAAAATACAAGCAAAACTTGTTTTTAGTTCATGTCTATGTCATTTATTAGTTTTTATTGTTTAAATCGAGTTTGGTGTGAAAAAAAATTGGAGAATATATTTTTAGACCATATTGCCCAGCCCTAGTTTAGGTTCAATAAAATTCTGAAACAATGGTTGAGCTATTGGAAGTAGATCCAAGTTTAAATGTAATAACCTTTATGATTAAGGGGATTTGAATCCATGTGAGCTGAATCTAAATATAAAATCAGATTAAAGAGATGACACGTCCTACAAGCATAAACTCTTCTGTGCCTGCAGAATATTTCCGATCCCATCTGCTCGCCTTCTCATCAAACCTGGACGACCACAACCCTGATGTTTCTGAATGGAGGCTGGATGTGAGCAGAGTCATCAAGAACTCCCTGATCCAGGTAAAAGCTATTTCTTAGGTTTTCAAATGGCAACCGTTTCTTTAAATCTGGTAAATACTGTCCGTGCTCTACTGAACCACTGACGCAGCATGAATGCAGTGTGACCTCCCCGAGGCTTTGAGACATGAATCTGACTTTTATGATGACAAGTGACAAGGCAAGAGGGAGGAGAAGGGGGAAAAATTCAGTTCAAGAGCATGATGATTGCAGTTGCTCACACACACTCTGAGAGTTTATGGCCAAACAGTAACGAGGCTGTGGATGTTGAAGGTGTACAGAAGAATGAATGTGGGTACGTTCCTCATCTGCACTGACCTGAAGCGGCACTCGGAGTGCTTTTTGACCTGTCAAGTGTAAGACATGATTTCAGCATGTACACATTACATGTCAAGGTACAGATCTTTCCTTCATTAATTTCCTGTTTTATTCCACAACATCCTCCTACGTCAATATTTTTCAGAGGAAAGAAGCCATCTGCCCGTCTTGCATCATATTTTCACACTTTTTGATCCTTAAAAAAAAATCAAAAATCTAAATTGATGCCAAAAATATACCCAGGCTCTTCAGTCTTCAGTGAACATGTCTGTTTTGTTATTTGTTACTGACATCATCCTCTCATGAAAACCCCAGCCTTGAAGGCGGAACATGAAAAAAAAAGAAAATTCAGATAGAAATATGACATGATAGCTTGAAACATTCACAGGATTCACTGAAGAAAATCCATGCAAGAGCAGGAACAAGAAGCAGAGGCTGCAGTAATCAATGACAACATGCAGTAAACAACACCCTCACTCACAGACCAAGTACAACAACAACAACAACAACAACCATATACATGCATTCAATATTTAAGTATATTAAATATTAAGTTTTATACTTCTTCCGACTCCTTTTCAGGCATATCAATTGAATATGTCATTTGCTTTTTCTTTTTCTTTTTTTGTGAAATAATTTTAACTTTGTTTTTTGTTTATTGTATTTTCATGCTTTTCATTTTGTTTTGTATTTTTGATATGTTTGATTTTATTTGATATGTCTGAAATGAATTTAATCAATCAATCAATCAATATCAGATTCATCATCCACTTAAAGGTATTTTCAGTATTTTATTAGAAATGTTACATTAAAATATCTAAATTAATTATGAATCATTGACTGAATTTATGCTATATTTTTGTTGTTGTTGAGTACTTACATTACCTCAAATATTGCAAACACTTATCAAACCCTGAGAAATTCTTAATTTTATAGTTGTAGCGGGACGTGTCTTGTCGGGGCGACTGCCATATCTGAGCCGATGTGTTTATCGTTGCCATGGAAACACAAGCGGGAGCAGCTACTGGAGGCTGCCATACTGTTGCTGTATGTGCTGTTGTGATAAAAACTTAATGTAAATTATACTTGGATAAGTCGTCTGTAAACATATTCACTCTCATGATTCCCCGCCAGCCCTTCACGTCATCTTTTTGTTATTGAGAGCTCCCAGGCTGCGGGATTTACATACTGTGCAAGTGTCAGGATAATGCTGGTTTTTATATCAGATTGCACTCACATGGCATGAACATCGGTTTAGGTTCATTTAGGTTACTCATCAAGACGATCCTACAACACAGTTGCAATAAAGTGACAACCCCCACGTCATACCCATATCAGAACAGCCTGACAAACAAGACACATAGCAAGGCTGCTACTTGATGTTAACTTTCATGGTAGGCAAAAAAGATGCAAATGAAGGTCATTCAGTGTGGCTCTTAAATCTGCTCCTCTGTCAGATAGTGTTTCCAAAAAGAAAGAGAAGGCACACATAATCTTTGAATAGAAACAGAGGACCGCAAGACTTTCAGTCAATGATGCTCCTGTTGCACATTTGTCCCCTCTTCTGTGTGTTGTCCTTGATGTGGAAACCACTTTAAATATGGCTCTAATGGATCACTAATCCAGGTGATTATAGTTACTGATTTCATTTCTGATGAAGGCTACGATACAATAAATGGTAAATGGGCTTTAGCTCGTAAAGAGCTATTCTAGTCTTCTGACTACTTAAAGCGCTTTTACACCGCAGGTCACACCTACACATTCACACACTGATGGCAGAGGTTGCTATGTAGAGCCATCAGAAGTGATTAATCCATTCATACACACTCATATGCCGCAGATGAAGCAGCTTAGGGTTAAGTGTCTTGACGAAGGACACATCTGAGGTTTGATGAAAGAGCTGGGGATTGAACCTTCCACTTCAGGGACGAATGATTCTACTAACTGAGCCACAGCGAAAATGTTGTTTATTTATTCATAACCAAGAGGTTATGAAAAAGTCCCTTGGGGATATTTTAGTTCAGCTTTTTCAAAGGCTTTTGTCAAATGTAAATTGCTTGTCTGTGTATAAAGTCTCCTTCCTCATCTAATTCTCTGAATGCGGGCATTGCCGTACTGAGCATTATCAATCAACTTGACGAGGGTGGATTCAACCACAGGTGCTTTCCCTGTGCAAATTCTGATTCTTTCTCCGTCTCTAGCAGCTGTGACTGTTTGTCATTGTTTGAGAGAATACTCAGGGTGTGTACACACACACACACACACACACACACACACACACACACACACACACACACGCACATACAGAAGAATACAAACTTTCACTGCTCCTGTTTTGCTCATTGTTGGCAGTTTGTCAGAAACTTTGAGGGGAAAAGGTATTTTATTGAGAGGAAATGTTTCTATGCCCCATCCAGCCTAAGTTAGAAAGTGTGCAGGGGGCAGAATGGTTGTCCTGTGAGTATACAGTCAGTAAATAAATCTAAAGTTTCAGTACTTGTTTGCATGTTGTCGTGTGGAAAACATGAGAGGCGACCACTGCAAAGTGACAAAAATATCAGAAGATAAATTATTGTGTCTAATTTTTATGATCCATATTCGCAGCCAATCAGTGTACATGCTGCTGCATCACACACATTCATAGTGATTGGTGTCACATCTACAGGTCCCCTCCTGTAGGTTTTTCCTTAAAATGTTTAGGGAAATGTATTAATTTCAGTCAAGAAAAGCTTAGCACTGGATATCTGTATGTATTACAAGAAAGGGGAAAGTTGACTGAGGTTCTGCTTAATCTACAGTTTGCTTAAATGTCATTGGACTACAGAGGTAAAGGGGTGGGACTTTAAGTTACATTGTTAGGGGGGGAGGGTTGGTAAACCACTGCTCTAAAGCGTTGTTGTCCCTTACCAGATTATCATCTCTTACTGATTAACAGTTCTTACATGTTTCTACTGAACGTGTGTTTACATTTTTAAGTCCTGCAGTCCTCCTTTCATTCTGCAAACAATCGACTTCAGTAAATAGGGCCGTCTGCATCATACTGGAGTCAGAATAGGTTTGGAGAGCACAGGCTGCTGCCTCTAAAAACTGTTTATTTATTCAAGTGCAATTATGACAATTAAACTGGACTCAGATCTATGAGCTGCACATACAATGCATGACTTCCAGAACCTGTAACACAGCTATGTATTAATACATTACTTTAATAATTATTTGTATACGATTTTCTGCGTTTTGTATAATTTTTTTTTGTTTTAATTTTTTTCTCTGAATCTTTTCCATCTTCTTCCCTTCAGTCCACGGGAGTGAGAGAAGATCAGCTTCTGGTCACCGTCCTGCCAGGTTTACCCACAGCAGCAGAGTTTTTCCTCCTCCCTGACAAACAGCTGACGGAGGGGAAACCGGAGAAGAGCTCTGCTCATTTAGATCAGGTGGGACAACATTGCTCTGCTCTGTCTGTGGCTGTGTTTGCAGCATAGTCACTCTTTTCTCCATCCCTGCACAGTATTTGCGTAGGTGGATGGATTTCAGCTTGTTATCCTCATTCTAAAATGGCCCTGACCTCATGTACAATTGTGAAGCAATGATCCTTCTTTTTCTTCTTGTTCTGTGAGTCATGGTTGATCCCTTTTCTAACAGCGGCAGCTTGTCCAGTAATTGCTCCCCGACAAAGTCTTAGCTTAGAGTTCCTCCTTCCTCCAGCAGATGTCAGTATTGATCCACTGAAGCATGTCCATGTCTTTGCATGAGTCTAATTCTGGTACATGCCTGAGGAATCTGTGCAATGGGCTCATCAATAAGCCTGACAAGCATTAACAAGTTATCAGAGGGAACGGCTTTGAAAATCCCCCGAGTCACATCCTGTGGGGGTTTGAGGAGGTGAGTCTCGAAAAAAGCTGGTCAAAGAAATGATCGCGGTTGATCAAGCTCACTAAATCACCAGCATATCAAGATGATCCAAATTAGCTCGGAGCCTCATATAATAGATACTGACTGATAATAATGTTTAATCCATGGGAAGGAAATCAATCAGATTTTCCTCTTCCCCTTCCCTGCTCTCACCTGCTTGATCGCCTGCTTGATCCTCTCTTCCTGCAAACCTGCGATAAATCTCCATTCATGGTTGGCATCTAAAACATGGAGTGCTTGCTCTGCTCATTAGAATGTATAATAGACTGGCTGACCCTGGCATTAGGAAAAAAATAAATTAGTCATGGCCTGGTCTAAATTTAAACTTCTAAGGGATATAAAGGGGAGAATGGAGCTCCACAGAAATTACTCGTATCACAATTAATTTAGCAAATGAGGCAGATGAGATAGATGAAGCCTCTGCGGAGGAAAAATGGGATCTGCAGAGAGGAAATGGAGTATTTTTTTGTTTTGCACATCCATGCTTGTTTTTGGAGTCCAGATTGAAGAGAACTCATTTTTTGGTCTGTGTTTAACGCTCACTCCCTCAGGAGGATAGAGGTTTATAATTGAGTGTATGAAAATAACCTTTATGAGGGAATACATTTGAAAGGAATAACAGTGGACTCCAGCTCTAGTTTACCTCCGGGTCAGGGTAATCTGCCTGATTTGCCTGATGAGTTGTTCTCAGAGCAGAGCAGCTCCTGCCCGTCTGGGAAAGCGGAGATCAAGTGAGGCTGTAACCTCTGTATTGTGCATCACAACTCCAAAAATAGTTCCCACAGAGACAGACTAAAAGTGCATCAATGAAAGCAAAGTTGATAGACTCATTAAAAATCAACAAAAATGAGAAGCAATGGTTTTGGATGATCATTTTCAGTTGTTATCTTAATGGTAAGTAACACTATGCTTTGCTATCCATTTCAGAATTAGCAGTTAGCTTACAATGCTAAAGCTGCTTGTAAACGGTGTACTAGCTGCTGATGAGTTTTGCTTTGATTTGATTGGATGATTGGAGTTTACAAGTTTTGAATTAAATGTTTGTTTTAATAGTCTGTCTGTTTTTGGAAAGTTGGAAACCTCTAATGGAATGACTTTCGGAAATATCAGAAGCTTCATTACTGCTATAGCTTTCGTTAAGAGTGTTGTTAATGTGACTTAGAACAGCTTGCAGACTCCCAGAACACACTCTGTGAAACTTGAGAATGTGTAAACAGGCAGGTGTTTGTCAGATCATCATAATTCTGCTGCCCCCAAGTGGATAAAAAACATAATTAATCTAGTTTACCCTTTAAAGGTCATATAAAGTATTATGCAAAATACACTTCACCATGTTTTTCTAACACTAATATGTGTCCCTAATCTGTCTACAAACCCCCAAATTATGAGAAACGTCCATCCTATTGGTATTTTGCCTGCTCCACTTTTCAGAAAATGTGTGCTCGAACAGGCTGTTTGGAGATTTTCCCTTTGTGACATCACAAAGGGCAGTAACCCGTCTTCAAATTGATGACACTCTCACATGTGTTTGTTCTGCCCTCTGAATCTGCCTTCTCACCATAAACAATTGGGTATGGTGAAAGAAAGGCTAAGTCAGCCTCGCCCTTCCAGAGAGGGGGCGTGGTCAGACACAGCTCATTTGCATTTAAAGCTACAGACACAGAAACAGCCTGTTCTGAGCAGGGCTGAAATAGAGGGGGTTATAGAAATAAAAGGTAACCTTAAAATGTTTTTTTTTTCCAGTGTGGATTTTTTTTTTTTTTTAGGAAGTTGGTCTTTCTCTTGAATCCACTTTTAAAAAATAACTTCCACTGCAAATTTAACTTAAACTAACATCTTTAATTTATGTGATGTACTCATGTATTTTTGGTCCAAGTTGACAGACATTCAGAAACTGATATTTTTTTGACTAAATTATTTCATTACTACAACACAATGAAAATGGATGAACCCTGTGCAAAAAAAAAAATCACTCGGTGTTATTCAAACCCTGTCCCTCTTTGTGTTCCAACAGCTCTCTGAGGTTTTGCTCAACGCCTTAAACCAAAACCTTGTGCAGTTCACTCTGCGACCAGGGGTCCAAGTCACCGTTTACGCGGCACACCTTTCAGCAGGTAAACAAACACGGCTGCATGTGTGTGTGTGTGTGTGTTTAGATTCACTCTGGGGGGAAATCTGTTTTTCTATACTTAATGGGACAATACATAAAGCATGTAGACTATCAGGACACCTAGATACAACAGACAGTGAGGTATCATTTTATTATATTTGCTGCCCCTTCTAACTAATAACCACCCCTATGTCTGATTGGCTCCCACCATGTAGCTACACAGAGACATTCAGAGAGTGAGCATCGTTACAAGTATGTGTGCCTCTTCCTATTGGGGATGCTGCTACTGTCCTAAAGGGGCTTATAAGATAAAGAGTAAGAGAAGTCTATATATAATAAAAATGATTCATCTGTGATTTAATCTGTGAGGTCTCACTTATGCTGTTGACTGCTCATTGCATGATTCACCTGGTTGCAAAATACAGGACGTATTGGTGGCTGTGCTGCTCATACTCTGTTGCTGTTGTCTCCCTTTGTCTGCAGCGCCCCTAGTGGACACCAGCGAGAACCACAGTGGCTCTGCCATGCTAATGCTGCTATCAGTAGTGGTTGTGGGTTTAGCTGTATTTGTCATCTACAAATTCAAGAGGTAAAGTGTTCATGAAATGTTGTGTCTATAAAGTCCTCACTCTGTACGTGATAGCTGCTGGAAAAGGTGTCAGAGCATCCAGACGGCTTGATAAACAAAAGCTGCCTGTGAGGCTACAGAGAAGGTTGAGAGCCGCCTGTCAAATGCGGCTCCTAACAGACCCCAGCGCTCATTTGTGGTGAATTGGCTTTTCCACCATACATCTGTGGGGATCATGTGGAAATTCTTTTGGCAGGTCGTTCTTTGCAAAAGAAATGTCAGTCAGCCGTCAGCCGTCAGCCGCTATCAATATGAAGCCCTTTGAACGTGGGCAGTTGACCTTTTATCAAATGTTAAATCATGTCTCCTCACCAAGGTGAATTGCCCTGAGAAAAGGGCACAGGGGTTATAAGCTTTAAAGACAAGCAGGGACATGATTAAACTTTAGATTTACAGACAATTATTATGACTTGTGTTTGTGTGAATGAAGATTTACATGGAACATTAAGTGCTTTATCATCTTAAAGAATTGCAGGTCAGGGTCATAATGTATGTACGCTGATAACACACTATCATTGGAGTTTGTCACCTGATATTCCTTAATTTAATATCATGTTTTACAGTGGAAATAAACACTCAAAACAGCCATCTTTAACCTGCATATCAAAGCTTAAAAGCGCCTCCCTTCTGTGGTCAGAACAAAAACAAACCATTCCATGCACTGGAATCAAAACTTTGGAGGACATACTCACTGCTGCAGTGTTGACAGGGAAGCCAGCACTTCAACATAGCATGTTTCCTTAAAGTCTGAAGATTAGTAAGGTCATTTTATGATTTAATTTCAGTAGATATCTTACATATTGGACCTTTAATCTGTGAACCTTGTGGTTTCTCCAAGCTTCCAACATTTCTGTGATCACATCCCAAGCTGGCTTGCTTATCAATGTATGTATTGTTAAATATCAGTGCTGATCAATATGGATTTGCCATCATAGTCAGACATCACAAAGAGTTTGGCTAAGCAAGACATGCATGGCTCCAGTTGGTTATATCTAGCATTCTATTGATTTCCCCGGTCATGTCCTCACTCTCTTTGTTTTAGTTAGGCTTTTTGTCTTTATCCCATTGCCTCACTGTAAATCTTTCCTCAAGGAAGATCCCAGGCCTCAACGTCTATGCGCAGATGCAGAACGAAAAAGAACAAGAAATGATGAGTCCAGCTAATCCAACAGAGGCCACGCCCAGCTCACAGCGGGACCTGGTGAATTCTTTGGAGATTCTGGACACAGAGTTTAACTCGCGGCCCATCGGTAAATATCTGCTCCGGTTTCTTACTCTCGTCTGTGGCTGGATTTTTTTATTTATTTTTGTATCCATTATTTCATACCATTGTACGGTTAATGTGCCATTTCTTCAGTCTCATCCTGTGCTTTTTTTGTTTTATGTTTCTTAGAAGTGAAAGGGTCCGGTCAGGAGGTGAAGGAGAGCTAAACAGAGCCGAGTAAAGTTGCTTCTCAGTTGAAAAATTAACACATTGTTCATTGTTTTCATATCCTTGAATTACAGATGACTGACAAAAATCCAACAACAATTGTCTTAGACCATGTGCACACCAATTTAAAACATAGTTTCAAAATGACTAAATAACCCCTTCTGATGCTTGTTTTTTTAGCCTCATAATTAATTTCTATACTTTCTAACAAGCATGGGAATGCACATAACCTGACTTTATTCTGGGTAAGGCTGTGCATGTCAGAGCTAACCAACACAAAACAGTTATTGTATGACCAAAATCAGCTGTGCTCCAATGTCGGGCTGATAAAGCTGTTTAAAATGGGAATTGGGCGACTGTGGCTCAGTTCCGTTGTCTCTCAATTGGAAGGTCGGCGGCACGATCCCAGCTTCTACTGTCCACAGTAAAAAAATATCTCCCAGTGGCAAAGCTGTGTACAAATGTATCTGAATGGACTAGCTGAAACTGATGGCCACTTTACATACAGTAGCATCCTCTGCCATCAGTAATAATAATTACTATCAGTTTATTTATAAAGCACCTTTCAAGGACAGAACGTCCCAAAGTGCTTTACAAAGAAGTGTATGAATGTGCGTCTGTGTATGTGAGTAATGTGATGTAGTGTGAAAGCACTTAAGTGGTCAGAAGACTTAAAAAACTAAGTGTAAGAGCAGCCCATGTACCATTTTCTTGGTACAGAATTGTGTTGCATTATTTTAGCAAAGCATGCAGTTATCCATGCAGAGTTAGCCTCTGCTGGTCAAGGCTGGTGTTGTTTGTGAAACTCTGGAAAAGGATCCCAAGGAACTTTATGGATCAGGAAAGACACACTGACTTTTAAGACATAGACAGCATGCAGTTGGGTGTCTACATTATTGTTTTTAACTTCCCCCCCAAGGGATTCTGGAAAGGTTTTTTATCAAGAGTCTGTCAGGAGCTTAAATGCCAGGATAGTGTTGACATTAAGACATAAACACGACAAGGTTATAAGTAGCAGGGGGCATAGCCTTAGTGATGCAATGATCCATCAACAGTTTCTCGTACAGCTTCAGTGCTTCTTATCATAGATTCTCAATGTCTGGAAAGTGAATGTCTGCAGAGCTCAACTGGATTGAGATGCCATGCTTTATAAGCTGTAACATACCATTTGTATAATTGTTATATTGATCAAGTAATTTAGTAAATAATGGTTCCTTTATCTAGAATCATCTGCATATCACTACCTAACTTCTTGATACATTTGCATGTAAATAAATTATTATTAAGTTCTCTTAAGCTTATTAATCAGGTTGTGTAAAGCCTGGCTCACACTGTGCGATTTCTCCCCGTTTGTATTGTACAGCTCACACTGTACGACTGAATTGTTTACGACGACCAGACCTTGAGATTTATGTACTCACACTGTACGACCTGATTGTCGGGCATGGCCGGAGAGTTCACACTGTACGAGTGACATCGGGACGGAGCGTTGACAATTATTAATCAAGTTTCATTTGAAAACTCCAACAGACGCCGGTTAGTGAAAGAGAAGGAAGTGGAAGTTGTTGTAGGATAGAGGAAAGTAGATACAATAGATATATGGATAAGTTTCAGAAAAGTGCTGCACTGATGATCTGTACCGTAAAATTAAAAAAAACACCGGGTTGCATCCTGCCGCTGGTCGCCATGACTACAGTCCCCCTTGTCTCTCGTGATTATATTGTAGTCACAAACAATTTCTGCCGGGCCCTTTCATGACGTAATCGTCAAGATTTTAAATTATAAATATCAAACATGTTTGAAATAAATCGGTCCCGACAATCGCCGGGCAGATCGGGGACGTTAAGAATGGATCTTTGTACCGCTCACACTACAAGATAATCTGAGCAGATTATTGGTTCTGAGCAGCCTTGAGTCCCTCGATTGTCGGGAAGGAAGAATCAGAGCTCAAATCGGCCCGATTATCCTGCAGTTTGAGCCAGGCTTAAGAGTTAGGAGCAAGCTGGTGAAAGTAATGGAAATTGAGGGATTGTTTTCTGTCGAAGAGGACCAAGAGAACAACAATCAGAGTGAATGTTGGACTTGATATAATCTTACTGACTGATGCCATGGTGGCTTTAACCTGACGGATGTGTAAGTAAGCAAGTAGCTGCTGACAGCTTTTTTGGTATTAACTTTTTTAGCTTGTTCCAAAGACAAAAAAATGCACATTATCCCAAGTCCACTTATGTATTTTTTGTCTTGTGTGGAATATCCTCTGACACCTGTTTCTTTCCCATTTCTACCCGCAGGATGTATGAAACCTCATGTACATGTGAAATTCTCCACAGAACTCCCCACGTACATCGTCTAAACTCTGGACTGGATTACCACTCCAGCTGCGTCATTGATCTTTTTTTTGCTTTTTCTTTTTTTTACCAATTGGGACACAATGGTTTTGAGCTTTATACCTGTGCATGTTGGACCCTGCTGACACATACTGTGCTCTGTTCAAACCAGAAGAAAACTGTGTACAGGTTTTAACATACTGTATTTTTTGTTTTCTTTTTAACATACCGTATGTCCAATGAATTACACATTTTGAGAAATGCCATCTATTTATAGAAAGTCAGATCCATAATAAAGAAGGAAAGCCAGCATGAAATAGGGAGGGTGAAAAAAAATCAAATGAGCAATGTTTTGTTTTGCTTCCATATCTAAGATTGGTTTGCTGTTGTATGAAGCTAACAGCAGTAATGTATTATTTATTCATATGAATATACTTTTATGAAGTATGTTATTAGAGTGAATTACACATTTATTTTGTAAATCATGAATGTCTATGTTATAAATTTGTGTATTTTAATAACAAACGTCAGACTAAAACAGGAATTCTGTTATAAAATATGAATAGGGTACTTCAAAGCTTTTGAACCATTGTCTCTTGGAAAGCTGATTTATGGCACAATACACATTTTCTACTGAGATATTTTTTTTTTTTTTATGATTTTAATTTAGTAACAGAAATACAGGGTTTCTGGAGTAATTTAACCTTTGCTGTTAATCTAACGCTTCTGGTACTATTTATGATACATACCAGTTTGTAAAAAAATGTTTTGTGCTACGGATAAAGAGACACTTGATGGCTTGGGTGCTATGTTGCACCCTTCTGACTTGCAGAAGATTCCCAAAACTCACCAGACCTTACACCTTTTAGGATTAGAAGAAGAAGAAACGGAGAAATGTCGGGAGGAGACTATCCAACAGAGAAAAGCATTCCAAAAGTCGTTCTCAGCCACGCCCCAAATCACAGCTCACAACTGGAGGCAGAGTACGGTGTTCAAAGCTTGGATTTTAAGGTTGTGGCTGTAATGAGATACAGCGACTTAGTGGGAGAATCCAAAGAGCGCGGCAGCCAGACAGAGAGAGGTGAAGAGAGACGGAAGAGTGCTTTTTGGGGTCGTGACGCATTAAGAGCATTCTGTAGGACAGAATAAGAAGAGGTTGAATTTTTTTTTGAATTCTTAACGTGTTCAGCCAAGATCAAGGTTGGTGACACATTCAGGCTAATGTGCTGAGCCACTCTCTGGTAGCACCCATTTTCATCCCAGCTCATTATACAGCGCTGTCGGAGCAGGGGAACTCGAGTGCAGCTGCTACAAGGCTACACAAGGATTGGTTAGTGTGTTCAGAGCGACTGTCAAACTATGTGGTACTTTGTGAGTGATATCGGACAGATGCAAATGCCTGATTGATGCCTTTCAAATCTCCTGAGGGCAACTTTTTAAAAGATTGATTTTGATGCTTTTTCGTTTGGAAGGAAAGGAGAAATAGAGAAGGAGTTTTGGTTTTATCAGTTTGAAAGATATTTCCTTCAATTGTTCACACATCACTGTAACTCCACCTACAGTACAAACATGAACTATACGCAAGGTTAATGATTAGATTCTCTAAAGTCCATATTTTCTAAATGTCATTCAACATCCATTACTACAAGGTTGCTCAGAACTCCATGCCAGCTGAGGAGTTTGCTTACAAACTTATCTATTGACCACATTTGCAAGATTTGGCTTCCCCACTGGATCCTTTACTGATTTGCCATTCACCATAACACATGTCTGATACACTGTAGTGTAAAGACTAAAGAAGACTTGTGAAAGCTGTTGCTGTTGGTCTGTTGATGTAAATCAGTGCTCAAAACAGAGATACAAGAACCTGAAGCTTGCAGCATACCAGTATACAACAAAGTAGTGAATCACCTTAGAGATGTGTTGCCATTCTTTAGGGTTAATCAAGCCCCATGTTGCTTATAAAAGTTCTATCGCAAAGATCTTGTAAACAGTTGAAGTTCACCTTCCTCCATTTTGTTTGATGTTCTTCTTCTAAAAAGGGAATTCTTTCAGTTTTTACAAGTTGTGTAGATGACATACTTTAACATTTGTTTTGCGTAAAGCTGGGTAGGTTACCAATATTTTTAGATGAGATGTGATGACCCCGATTAAAACAAAAAAGTGTTTTCCAAGCTGCATGCTACATGGATTTTGGTAACAGCTCTCCACCATCTTATTGTCCAGTGTAGCTGTTAGGGCTCTATCTGAGGTTGCAGGACAGAATTCAAACTCAGCTACAAGGGGATTTATCTTGTACCATTGCATGGTCTTATAGGCTGAATTTAGATAGCGGTTGTTGGATTTTTATGAAAGCAAAACACATCTAGGGAATGTAGCAATACAATAATAATTTGATTTTGTATGTATAAGGAGATTTCAAGATTTATTTTCAAGTTTCAAAAGCAAAGATGTAAAGTTGTATTCTAAGAAGGATTAGGTTTACACTTCAGAAAAGGTTCTGATTTAAAAAAAAAGCTTGAGGGAGACAGGCAGTAGGAGCCTGGGAAGGACAGGTTGAACAGACACAAAGTCCAGTTAACCCTGTGGGATCTCTGGCCTTCTGGTGAGGATGAGCTGTGGTGAAACATCACCTGAGAGTGTTCTGAGTCGGTATGATGTTGAAGACTAGCTTTGAGCTACACAATCTTCCCCCTCTCTCTTTCTCTCCATCCCTTCCCCCCTGCAGAATTAGCAAGATTATTATTTTTGTAGAGAAATGACAATAATAATGAAAAAAAAAAAGAGTTTTATTACTGTACAGCTTTTGTATGAGAACAGACGGTAAGGTGTTACAGTGTTTTTGTTTGACCTCAACTGTGCTGTGTGTAATTGTTTTATGCATTTATAATCATATTTATTAAATGGAAAGACGTCTGTTAACTGTGTTCTCATTTTCTTACAACATTTGTAAAGAAATACTATGTATTTGGGGGCGTAATATTCAACCTATAAACAGACAAACCAAGTATGTGTTGGTATTTTCTTCCTCACGCAACACTAAGCAACCAAAGTATTGAACAACATGCGTTATTCTTTATTCTTCTTATCTTGTGCTACCAAAACAGCTCTGAAGGTGTCCGGTTATATGGAACATATGTAATCCACATGAAATTATAACAACAACAAAAAAACTGAATAAATAAAGAATACTTTGAGAAAATGCATAAATAAGTTATACAAGTTACACATATCTCACTGAGAGTTAAAACTATTTACAAGCTAAAAAGCATAACATAATCTCTAAAAATATGTACATATAATACATTCAGTCTCATTAAAATGACACCCCCTTTAAGAGATACGCTGAGATACGCTGCTCTATGTGTTTGTCTGTTAGCACAGCACAGACATGCCCGAGGGTGAAGCTAGCAGAAATTACGGAGAAAATAACAAGCAGTACAGTGAGAAGGGTTTGTTTTAAGACTGAAAATTGACATCTACATGGTCTCTGGTGTTATTTTTTTTATACTGTTACCCCACTTGAACAGAATCTAGAATTGTTCCAGTAGCTAAATCTAGACACAAAGTTGACACAAATACTAAGAAGGCATAAGCAGCCTTTTTTTAAGCACATCCCAAAGATACTCAGTTGACTTGAGATCTAATGATTGCCAAATCAATACCCAAAAGTCTTTCTTAGAGGATGAAGATCAAAGAACATATAAAACATGCACGTTGTCTCAGTGACATCACACATTGGTTTCTGCAGTGGTCTTATGGAGCCCAATGATAGCAGTGGCCATTTGGTAAAGCTATCTCAACCTAACTGTAGTGGTTTCTTCGGTCTTCTTAATAAAACTTATGTTCTTAAACTTAGTTCTTTCTTAACCACTCTATAGTGACGACATTACACTGTTTTACGCATTGAGTTGGCTTCACACATGTTCCCATGTGTCCACGGTAAAACTACCGTGTTGCTCCGCCGTCACTCGTTTATTTCACTTAGACAGCGTAATACATAACAATACACTTTACTTCCTGTCTCCTGATCACATGACTACGGAAGTCTTAGAGAATCACAACAAACCTTCAAAATAAAATAGGAATAATCCCATTACATACTCCCAAGATAAACACAAAAAATATTATCTGCTATGCTCTAGGAAATCATAATCCAAACAATAATAATCAAACTTGTTACTGCAAAAATGGCGCTTACACTAACTCCTGGTCTATCTTGTAACAGACAATGAGGTAAAGTTATTATGTCTTATGGCAAATTGCCACTACGAGTCCACCTGTCAGTCAACTCAGATACGCCCCAATTATGTACATTTATGAACATTTTGGCTTAATATGATCAAAACTGATAAAAACACCAAACATACAGTGTTAAGAAAACAAACAAGCTATTGATAAAAAATTAGGTTTTCGAACCAGACTGCAAAACCAGTTTATTTCTGCTATAACATTTGGCATTTTAATATAATAAATAATGTGGATTCTTTGGTTTTTGTAGTTAGCCTCAAGTGGACACTCAAGAAACTGCAAAAAAAGCGAGGTGTGTAAATTGCAACATGACCAGCAAAAAAAAAAGGTGTTTCTCCTTGTTTGTGCCAGCCTTAATCTGGGTAGTTGTGGATAATAAAGAAAAGAAAAATAAAGCTCTGCTAAGTATTACATCTAACAGCTTCTTTGTTGCAACTCAGTTGGATTTTGAATCTAAATACTCAGGCCCACTATGGTCTGGGTTGGTCAGTTTGGACCTGTGAGGACCTCTGTCTTTGTCATGTTCCTCAAACAGTCCTGAACAGTTTTTGCAGTTTGGTGAGGTGCTATATAATTTCCATCAGGGAATACAGTTTGTTGACTTTCTTTAATATTAATATCATGTTTCAAAATATGGCACATGTCAAAGTAAAAGCCACCACTGCAAGGACCCAAGGTTCCCCTAAAAAGCATTGCCGGCAGCATCAAAATGCCTCTGGTTCTTTTCTTCTCCGTATATGAACCCTTGTATCATATCTTCCTTATGTCACTCAAGTGTCAATTGTAACCTAACAGGCTTAACTTCACTCCAGACCCTATTCAGCTACAACTGTCTCCTCTTTAACATGCACTTCTGTAACATGAAGTTATGCAGTGGGACCTTGCTTGATTCAGGTAAGCACTTACAGAGGATTTGGGGGTTCAATGTGTCAAAGGCTGCAGCTCTATTGCTGCTAGATCTTTCAGCTGTCTTTGACATAGTGACCCACCAAATCCTCCTCTCCACACTCTCTGAGCTTATTATCTCAGAATCTGCCCTCTGCTGGTACCTCCTAGGGAGATCCTATAGAGTCATTTGGAGGGGAGAAGTGTCAAAACCGCACAGCTTATGCACAGGGGTGCATCAAGGGCAAGTGCATGGTCCCCTTTTCTTCTGATTTCTCATACTAGTGCTATGACGATCCCCAACTCTTCTTGGGATTCAGTGTTACAATGTTACAATTTCATTGATCAAGACGCTTTGTCCAAAACAATGCACATCTGAAAAGAAAAATTATCTAGAAAGGCGGAAACGTCAGCAAGTGTTCAAAACAGTGCCAAGTGGCAACATTCCTGCCAGATGACACTACATTAATTTCCTTTCATTGGTTCCCAGTTCGGGCTCCCATCAAATTCTAAACTTATTGGTTTATTAAAAAAACACAGACAAAAAAACGATCCTCCTTACCGAAACTAGGCTACATGAGCTAGACTCCTCTCCTCTGTAGCCCCCCGGTGGTACCAAACCCATTTCAATATTGAAATTAATACTCCTGATGGCATTTATGACAATGATGATATTGAGGTGGTGGACGGTTTTGATATTTAGAAGAATATGAGGATGATATTGATGGTGAAGTCAAAGTTGTTGTTGTTGTTGATGATGATGATGATAAAAATGTAATCTTTAAACCCTGTGAAGTGCCTGTTAGCACCTGCGTCTGATCACACTTAAAGCTGTTTTTTTGGCCCCTACTGATGTTGTTTCCTCCTACCTAGCAGAATAGAAGTTCCTCAATTCAAATTAATTAAGGAAAATATGCTGATATATTTATGCTAAAACCCTACTGCCTTTTCATTAAGAACATTTGACTCAGGTCCCATCTTGCTGAATATTAGTGCTTAAACGTTTATCTCAAAATTTTAAACCTCAAAAAGTTTGAAAGTTTTCTTAAAGTACTCAAGCACTTTAAAAGGAGCTATTCTAGTATTTTTTCATACATAATTCATGCCCAACTTAGTTGGGAGAAACCTAAACAGCCCTAACAGTATTTTGACTCGACAAAGCTCAGTCCTTCTTCCCCCTCACAGCTTAGGGAAGTTAAGACCAGTTTGTCGAGCAGAAAGGATCCTCTCATAAATAGGGATGAGTGTCTGAGCTGGAGTCATTAAAGATGAAGATGTTAATTTCTGCATGGATATAACCTTAACAAGTCTCAGTGCAGAATATAATGATGCTGAAGTGAGTGATAGTGCATAAAGGATAGCAGTAATTACAGCTGGCTCTGTTACGCTTATTTATGTGGTGCCTAAAATAGCTGTGGTTGGAGCAGCAGCAGTGATAATGACTGTCGTCACAGCGAAGGCCGAACCAACACAGACTGATTGTTGAGGGATTCATATCATTGCATGCCAGTGTACAGAATATCTCTCAGCTGAGGCATTCATGGAACGTACATCAACTGAGTAACACTGATGATGAGAGCGCTTCACATGGCGGGGAGTCATCATAGTTCACATGATGCACATATCCACAGGCCTTCATTGTCCTTAACAAAAGAGGAGAGGGACAGGCCACAGGGCGGTGTCATCACTGATGTGTACTGATGCCTCTGCTGCTGACAACAAGTCGAGGGAGGGAAACAGACAGAGCGTTCGGGAATGGAGCGCAGGGAGGGACAGACGGACTCCTTAATCGTTCTTAGCCGGAAGATGCTCGGCTGCCCCAGGGAGAGAGAAGATTACCAAGAGATCAATTCCAAAACAGGGCTGGCTCTGCTGACATCTCAAGGTAGTATACTGCAGTGCCCCCACGGGACCGGCTGCCAATACAGGCTGGTATTACTGAGGATTTAGTGTGAAGGAGACTCTCAGAGAGCAAAGGAGAGGCTCTTGGTAGAGGTAAATAGCAGGAGGATTACATCAAATGCTATAGTGGTAACAAGGGTGGGACTCCTAGCACGTTTAAGTCACAGCATTAAGTGCTTTGCTTTTGACCCACATGCTTTACCAAAATCAACACAAAATGAACGTTCTTACAGCAGCTTTAAAATATTAATATCAAAATAAAGGATTAATAAATGCACAAAGGAATGTTTAAGAGAATAACCACGGTTTAAAGTCTGAATTTTTGCAGCATGAGTCAGACACTCACATAATATTGAAGGTACATGTATTTGTTTAAGGTCAGAACACACGACCATGTCAATTGTGTAGAAAGTTTTCCTTTTCCAATGCAGTTGAAAAATCATTTTTTTTAATAAAGATTAAGCTTCACATGAGAGCAAGTAGAAATATGAATAGTACCTGACCTGAATAGCTCAGCACAGTGTGCAATGTGACTGCAGAGGGATGTAACAAACTAAAGGCATCATTGAATTATTTTAGGCTTAGTAAGTTTGAAACAAAAAGAAAAATAGTGCAATTGCCCTAAAAGAAAACTGACCTTTTGACCTCATTGTATATTACATAACTGTTCCATCATGCATGTGTGAGTGCACCTGAGTCGCCTGTCTCACAGTCGAGTTTGAATTTAGAAATGTGTTCAAAGGGATTTTTTTGAAGGTTAGATTTTGAAAATATTCAACTTTTGGGACTTCTTTGTCCTTTCCTGAACAACGTGTAGAAGTTTTTTAGGTCAGTGTCACACCAGGGTTGAGTTACTCATCATGTTTGTTTTTTTAAATGCCCAAAATACTGTGTGAGGCTATTTCACTGGAGCACCACTTTGAATGCAAAGTGGTGTATTTCTCCTCTCAGATCACATTATTTTACACTGCC